TGGAATTCCTGATGCTTGATTGAAGAATGGACGAAAAGGATTCTGGACGCTGAGAGTCTGGAAAGTTTGGAGTATCTTGCAGAAGATAAAAGGAAGTTGCGGGCGATGGCTGAACGTATCCAGCCATGTCGCATTTTTAGAAGAGGACACTGCTCCTGGGGGACAGATGTAAGTGAGGCGTCGGTAACGGCAATGTTGCGCCCACCTGTTCCTGCGGCGCCGCAGAGTTTCGGAACAAATACAACTATGGAAAAGGAGGTTCAAAGGGGACTTCCGCTGGCACTAAAGATCGTGTGTGCTGGCACTACAACAATGGTTACTGCAGATACGGCGATGATTGCCGCTATGGTCACACCAAGGAAGAGCTTGCCCTGCAGAATCATCGTGAAACAGGTAGGGTACTGGACGATGGGGCAAGCAACTCTCGAGGTTTTTGACTCCAAGGGCTGATAGGCGACGTCGACATCTGTCGAAGCTTGCGCAACGTGGACAGCGGGCTTAAATCCCGACAAGAAAACCAAAACAGGGTCGAGCCCCGACAAGAATGCCAAGCGCAATGCCTGACAAGAACGCGAAGCAGAAAGGGTGACAAGAGTGCCAGGCGCAACGCCTGACAAGCATGCCTCAGCAATTGTGAATGTTTTCTGCCGGCGGAGGTCCCGGCTTCTGAGTGCCTCTAGTGGCCTACCACAGCGCCCTGAACGACAGCCGAAAGGCCTAAAAAACCCAAATCTCATGGAATCCCGACGCAAGGCATAGGATTGAGGCTTTAGACGAGTCTTTAGACGAGTTTTGAGACGAGTCTTTAGACTTCTAGTGATGCTAGTGTGACGCTAGTGTCTCCCAGTGCTTCTAATGATTCTAATGCTTCGGCCTGGATCTGACACCAACAACAGGGCGTCGAGCAAAACATGCATTAAGGAGGATATCCTGAAGTTGTTGGTGAGCGCTGCCGCCGGAAGGAAAAAGTGAAACGGGCCACCTCAGATTCAAAAGTCGTAGCCGGGCTCCGTGCCCTCCCGTGGCACGCGGTCGATTCCAAGATGAACACGTTTGCGTGCTTACACCGGGGCCAGGCACGGACCAAAATGTCGGGATGCGTGTACTTGATTCAGTCAAACACCTGGACAGCCAATCAAAGCCTTGTTCTTCACTTGTCCATGTTGAAAATCACTTAGACTTCAGTCCCCCGACATCCCTAGCACCCTATTTCGGTGAACCAGTTTTTTAGCAATGACAACCTAGCAACGAACCCTAAAGTACTGCATAGCTTGCCTCCTGTCCCCCGTCCCCCAGCCAAGTCCTCCATGTCCGTCCACACGAGTTGCGGTGGCTTGGCCATGCTTGGCCTTGCAAGAAGAGCTTCTTTTTTTGTCATTGGCAGTGAAACCACTGTAAGAACCTGATGTGACGGTCTCGCGATTTGGTGTTTGAACTAAATCCCTAAACCCTGCAAACCCTGTAAAGGCTGCAAACTGCTGAATCACCCAAGCTGCTCAACTGAGCCAAATCCCCGTGAGCCGAGCCAAAATCTAAGTAGAGCTTCAGGTTTAAGACGTGGGATTTAGGGTTCAGTGCTTCGCCTACTAGGGACACCTTGTATAAAAGAAAGCAGGGCCTTGGGGAAAGCTTCCGGGTGCGAGGTTCTGTTGGGTTGAAGGGTGACGGCTGACGGCTTTAGCGCTCAGGGATGTTCCTTGGTGCTGTACATCCTATAAACCCTATAGACCCTATGGACCCTCCAAACCCTGTGACCCTAAAAGCCTTCTCAGCCTTCAATGTGAACACCGCGAAAAAAATTACAACGGGGCCCAGGCTGTCCGCGCAACCACAAACGACGGCGGCGGACCGCTGGAAGACCCAACAGGCGGTCGATTTGAGCAGGCGCTAGTGCTGCAGGTTAGGGGTTGATTTTTTGGGCGCGCGGGGGATGTGCAGGGTACGTGCGGGGGATGTGCGGCAGCCCTTTGGGAGGCGCCTGAAAAATTCACAGAAAAAGGGTTCATTTTAGGGGTTGATATTTGGGTGTGCGGGGGATGCGCGGGTGATGCGTGGGGGATGTGCGGGGGATGTGCGGGGGATGCGCGGTAGCCCTTTGGGAGGCACCTGAAAAATTCACAGAAAAAGGGTTCATGTGCGTGGGGGATGCGCAGGAGCCCTTTGGGAAGCACCTGAAAAACTCACGGGGGATGTGGGGGGGGATGCGCGGGGGATGCGCGGAGGATGTGCGGGACGTGCGGGGGATGTGGGGGGGATGCGCCGGGCGCCTTTGGAGGCACCTGAAAAATTCACAGAAAAGGGGTTCATTTTATAAGGGGTTGATTTTTTGGGCGCGTGGGGGATGTGCGGGGGGTGTGTGGGGGATGCACGGGAGCCCTTTGGGAAGCACCTGAGAAAATTCACATAACAAAGGTTCATTCTGCCACTTCTGGAACTATACTACACTAAATCTGCGCCAGCGACAAAGAGTATGCCTGCAAAAAAACGGAGTCCGCTGATTCACGGAGGATGCGGTTGCTTCGAAGAGGTTGGCATCTGGAAGTGGTGGAGAAGTTAGGCTTCCTCAGAGCGACAAATCAAGATGTATTGGTTCACCGGCGCAACACCTGAAGAAGGAGACGCCAGAGAAGAGTCGAGAGAAAGCTACGACAAGTGTGGCTGGGTCCTAGTTCTCGCTATCTTTGCCTCCACAGCAGACGCTTCGGCCCCGGCGTCCTCAGTCTCTCTCTCTCTCTCTCTCTCTCTCTCTCTCTCTCTCTCTCTCTCTCTCTCTCTCTCTCTCTCTCTCTCTCTCTCTCTCTCTCTCTCTCTCTCTCTCTCTCTCTCTCTCTCTCTCTCTCTTCCTCTCTTTCTGTCTGTACAATTCTCGCTGCTCCAGCCTCCGCGTACAAGCCCAAGTAGTCCTTCTCCTCCCGTCACGAAAATGGAATAACACCCACCAGCGAACAAACACACACACACACACACACACACACAGACACACATTTTCCTCCCGATACCACCCACCAGCGAACAAACAAACAAACAAACACACACACACACACACCCACACACACACACACACAACACACGCACACACGCACGCACGCACACACACACGCACACACACGCACACACACCAACACACACCAACACACACCAACACACACAAACACACACAAACACACACACACACACACAAACACACACAAACACACACACACACACACACACACACACACACACACACACACACACACACACACACACACACACACACACACACACACACACACACACCAACACCCACACACACACACACCAACACCAACACACACACACACACAACACAACAACACACACACACACAACACACACACACACACACACAACACACACACACACACAACACCAACACACCACACACACACAACCACACCACACACACACAACACCAAACACACACACACACACAACACACCAACACACACACACACACACTCTCACACTCTCACACTCTCACACTCTCACACTCTCACACTCTCACACTCTCACACTCTCACACTCTCACACTCTCACACTCTCACACTCACATTCACACCCAAGCACGTCACCTCCCTTGGGGACATACCCCGTTCTACCTGACGGTGAGTTGTCTGTGCTGGATTCAGACCCAAGCCAGGGGTCGTCAAGTTCATCGACTTCCCCAGTGCGACTGTAGTCCCTTCAGAAGTATTGAGATTGCCGATGACTGTTGTCCCAGCGGTGGAACCTCGGTTCGGTGGGTTGCCCTCGCTCGCTGGGTTGCTGAAGTAGTCGGCACCAAAAAAAGTGCTGTCGAGTGAGGGTTCTGCTAATGCAGGCAAATGTCCCGCTGCCTGCGAGTACTCATCATCACCGCGCCTTGGGGCGATCAAGTGTGATGACAATCTTGCCAAACTGTCGGGAGGGCTGGAGGATATGTCCTCAATGACTCAAGTCAAACCAGCTTTGTTCTTTTTGTTCAATGATGACGGCAGGCCGAAGCCAATCGTTGCTGCTGGCCAATCCGTAATGTGCATCCCTTGCCCTGCGCAATCGGACGCCGAACTAAGACAGTTGGTATTGTCCTTAACGCCCTTGGGCCACAGCTATGTCAGCTACGTCAGTCGATGATCAAGCAGGGGTCTGCTGGTCTGCTTCCGACCCTCTTTAGACGAGGTGCTCAGACACTACCTCGTACTGCTCATCTGCCTTTGTCATCTCCAGGCGGCTTGTTTGCAACGGCTTCGTCTGCTTGATGCAATACCTAAGGAGATGGTACACATCACCAGCGCATAGAAATGTACAGTGATGCTGTAGATGTAGATGGTGCAAGACTAGGATACTGAGGCAGACTGAGGCAGGATGCAGAATCTGCAGTTGAGCCGTAGCTCTCGTGTCGTCATGCTTCATTTGCAGACCTTGGCTCTCTTCAATGACTTTCTGAGAGTTCCAATGTACTATTGATGTCATGTCCTGTGTCCAAGTCCTTCTCTCAGCTTCCGGCGAATTGTTGGATCCTGTGACTTTTTCAGATCGCCCCTGATCCTTTGCTCACTGACGGTGATGACGAAGGCAAAGTAAGCCCAACCCTTGTGGTTCAAGATGTTCTTGATTGTCCTGAGCAGAGGACTCATTTTGTGCCGCAGGGCGAATCCAAGAATTCAAGGTCTAAGCTCACATCTGCGTTCCTGCATGTGGCTTGCCAAAATGCCTGAGTCATCCTACCAGTAGGTCCTAGGTTTGTTAGCTGTTAGTGTTTATGCGAGCGGCGTGCACCGTTCCTGCGGCATCCTGTGCCCAAACTGGTAGAGCACGCAATGGCACGCAAGGCAAGGGGATTTGGGAGCACAATCCCACACCCTCAAGGCCACGGCAGCCTCCCGCCCATGCAACTTATGCGCTTGGGAGCCCAAGCCTTTGACAGTAGCAACTCCGCGTGCAAAGGGAAGTCAGTGGTCTTTCACGGTATTCCAACGTTTGTTGTCAGGTCTCGGCCCTCAATTTTCAGTACCCTGCTGGGCCATTCGCAGAATCAGATCTTCATGACAATGTGGGGCATCTGCTAAGATATGTTCAACACTTGTGCGAAGTCTCTCAAGTGGCTTTTTTGGACCAAGCGACTGGTCGTTCTTGTCACGCCAGTCCCATGTTCGCGTTGCTCGCAGCTTGTAGTTCTGAATGCTTCGCTCCTCGCGGTAGCGAGCGTAGAAGGCCATGTCACCTCAAGTCTCCACCTCTTGACTCTCACTCTGTCCACTCTGTCCATGCTTGTGTCACGCTGCATTCACACGATGATCTCCGAAGGGGCCCCCTGTTCTGCTGAGAGACCTTGCCGCCGCAGCAACTTGAAGGACGCCTCTATGGGAAGCCTGTCCTGTCGGCTGTGCCGATCTATTTTGCAAGTGATATGCAGTGATATGTGCAGTCGAGGGGATGCCAGCTGTGAATTCCGGCGAGCTGGAAATGAGCCACTCAACCCTCGAAGCATGTGCTCGCGATGACCTTCAACGCCGAATCCATCAACATGTTGAAACGAAATACGCATAAACCCAAGTGCAAGTCAGAACCGGACTTGGAAACAGTCGTCATCCAAAGGGACTTACAGAAGGAATCGTGAGCACCTTCTGCGCTTGTTGCGAGTCCTTTCCATCCTTGACCGCCTGCGCCAGCTCCGTGTGGCTCATTGATGTCGAGAAGCAATCCCATTCGATCTTGAGGTCCACCTCATGCAGTCATGAATATCCTAAACTCCTAAACCCTAAACGGCCATAAACCCTAAATAGACGAACATGATACATCGTTCATGCCTCCGTGAAGGTTGACAAGTTGTCTTCTTTGGGCACCAGCTCGCCTTCACATCCTTGTCTGTCTTTGCCCAGAGCGAAAACGTGAAAGACCTGTCACTCCTGGAGTCCTGCCAGAGGGAGCAAGCTGCTGTCTGGATTTTCAGACCACATCGCCAGCCGCACAAACAGCCCCCAGACGGTCCCGGAAGACGGTCTGCGTCTCCTTGTGGGAACGATGACCATCGTCACTGCCTTGAACCGCTGGATTCAGATGCAAGGTAAGCAGTGTGTGTGTGGGCTCAGGCGATTCAGATGATTCAGCAAAGCTAAGGGAAGAATATTGACCAACATCTGATGTTGCCATGACGCTCTTCGTGAGGATGTGGCTGACAATCCGATAGTCGTGGCCTCGGAGGGGTGGGCTCGACCATGTGCGAAAGGGCTATTGGGATGCATGAAGGAAGGTGTCAAGCCTTGTTGTCCTTACTCTGATTGGGAACAACTTGGCATAACTGTACCTTGTTTAGCAGAACACGGCCTTTCGTGAACATCCGGGCAGCTGAGGGAGCGGCTGGCCTTCAGCACATCTTGCTTCTTGCACTCTTTTCTGGGCATCTGCGGCCCCCAGGAATGCAGAAGGGTGTACATGACCTGATTGGCAAACTGGCAAAGTTCCCTAGCACGTCCTAATCGTTTCAAGCTGCTTGGCCGACGGCACGCCTAAACCATAGCGAACAGCAAGAGGCCAAATGCCGCCCCTACTGCTTATCACTTCTTGCAGCTCCGAAACTTCCACGACACGAGCATGCATCTTCCGATTGCATGTGTGCACCTGGCAATGGTCTTGAGAATTTGAGTGCTGTCGTGATCTCCTTTCATCGTGAGCTTGCGCGGGAGCGTATGGCTTCATTTTTGAAGTCAGGCGGCAATGTGGGCCATAGCATCGATCAGGTTCGTGACATCTGTGTCCACATGGTCCAGCAGCGACATGTTGCGGGTGCCAGTATCCACCTCACAGAAGGTGCCGCATGCAGAAAGAAAATTGGGTCTTCATGCCCATCTGCCACTTCTGCAACAAAATGCTGCGCAGCATGAGCACATCTTCATGCTCTTCGGCTGAGAGAGACGAGCGAGACAGAGAGAGACAGAGAGGGAGGGAGGGAGAGCGCGAGGGAGAGAGAGAGGCAGAGCCAGAGAGGGAGAGAGAGAGAGGGAGCGAGAGAGAGCGAGATCTGTGCAGAAGCCCGTGCTGCAGACCTCCACATCCTTCAGCATGTTGTACAAGTCGCGCAGCCCATCCCCCAGATCCTACAAGCTTTTGAAACCCTGTATAACGTGTTAAAACAGAGCTGTATGCAGCCATAAGTTCACACAACACTTCACATCAGAACATCACCGCTTGCACTCAAGCCCACTCATGAGGCCCAGGAACATATGCCAAGAGCTGCAGAATGGGCACGCAGTTGGTGTTTGTGAGGAGATCAGACCTCTGAACACACACACACACACACACTACGGTCAATAATTTCAGCAGATAGACGGGAACAGCATGGCACAGCGGAGTGCTCTCGTCCGAGATGCTGCAGGTTCGAGAGACACTGGCCCACGTTAGAGATGGCTCCACACAGCTCGCGGAAAAGCCGTGTGTTGAACACGTAGGGCAACAGGAGGTATTTGTTCGCAATGACTTTGCCTGTCGGGCGAGCATCTGCCAATGAGAATGAGTAGGCTTTTCAAGGGGGAGCGCATAACCTGGTACACACGTGAATTCTACATGCGTTTTGCATCGTACACGGAACATGTAAGCAGTTCAAATTGAGCACCGGGCGGGTCTGCGGGTCGATGCAGGCAGACGGCGTGTCCAGCTTGAAGGCCGTGGCATCCCTGGGAGGAAGAGACACACACAGCAGTCACACACAGCAGTCACAACAGTCGCAGCCGCCACGTGCTCTTGTCACTGAAAGAGTCTTGTCTTACATGTGTTTGCCAGAGGTGCTTGAAGCGAGGAAGGAAGTCCTTGATCTCTCCAATGACACGCATGAGCTTGGGCACCACATCTTCCACGATGAGCATTGCGTGCCCTTCAGGATGAGACACCAGACACACCTCGACCAGAGAGCGCACAGTCTTATGGGGAGTATGGGGCCATACCGGGCCATGTGCAGTCTGCGCAGGGTCTGCGTACAGTTTGGCATGAGTACTCTTACGTCCTTTGTTCTGCCCCATGCTGCACCTTCTTCAGCACAGATGCCGAGCTGAAGGCCACCTTACGACCAGAACAGCTGGAATTCGACACTTGTCCAAGCAGGATATCGGTAGATGAGCCGCGGAGAGATCACGAAACAAGTCGTGGAAGTTTTCGAGCTCACTCAACCGGTCCACGGATCGCTCCAAAGGTCTGAGAACCTCAAGGGTTGCGTCTGGAATTGCAGAGGTAACCCTACACACTGGGAGTCGCAATGTCGCGCGCATGGCTTCTTTCCTTGCCTGAAGCAGCGGCTGGACGGTGGATCCTTTGGTCTTCGTGCTTTTCTGCGTCGAGGAGGACGTGAAGGAGACCGCCGAGACGATCTCGTAGCCTGAACTGCACGTCGGAAAAGCTTGAAAGATCAGGGCATGCCGTATTGTGGATGTGAGAGATAGGCCACTAGAGGAATCTCACGACCAGGGAGCGCATCCCTTGACGGATGATGTTGAAGATAAATGCCCGCTGCTCTTGTGATGTCTCGGCTTTCTGCAGGATGGCCAGCAGTGGGCTGATGATCCTTCACATTCGAAGCGGCACTCTGTGCGGACCGAGCTCACGCCTGTTTGCTCATGTCGGCGCCTGCTTGAGGCAGGTTCTTTGCTCTCTGCGATGTCCTTTGCTTCCGGCTTGAGCCTAGTTTGGCCAGGGTTTCGTGCTCTGTGCAACATATCTCTCTATGTACATAGGTACATACATGTACTTATCTACTTCTATGTATACATATATATGACTGATGCTGCCCTTGTGCCTGCACTCTGCTACCCTCGGAGCTTGGACGCGGGCCACTTTGTGAGGATGTTGCAGAAGGACAGCAGGGATGCCCTGACACACTTTGTATCGCCACACATTGTGGCGTCACGCGCAGGTGAGCACACCGCACTTGAGCGGCATCCCAGGGCGCCCACTCTGCTTTCTCCGGCACGTAGAAGGCTTGTGTCATGGACGAAAGCACCTGATTCGCAACTTGCGAAACTTTTTCCTTCAGTTTGACAGCAGAGGCAAGCCTTCTCCACATTTGCGCGCGTGAACCTTGCCAGGTTTCCTGACGGGCATGGGGCTGATCAACGATGTCTTCTTCCCAACCATTCGTGGACGCCGCTTGCAACAAAGGCGCTCGGTATGTTCAGCAGCTGCAGCACAGCATCGCACATGGATTGTGCCACAGTGGGGTCCAAGCTGTCCACCAACGTCCTTTGCAGCAGGCTGAGGGAGTCGTAGGGCTTGGTCCCGATCTTCTACATTACAGTACAGTGTGGTTGTGCGCTGCGCGGTTGCTTGGGTCTGTTCCAAGATTCGACTAAAGCTACATGATGTATGACACAAAAACTTAAACAAATTGGAAAATTGGTGGTTCGTTTGACTTTGTTGAAGCAACTTGAAGAATAGCTTCATGCAACACTGCACCTGCCAGGAACAACACAAATGTGCACGCTAGCACACACACACATAACCCCTCGCACGCACAAATGCACACACCACACAGACGCACACGGCCACGCACATGGCCACGCACACGGTCACGACCACGGCCACGCCCACAACCACGCACACGCGCACACCTCGGCGCACGCCCGTGTACGCACACCATGCGCGTCCGCTGCACTTGCACTGGAACGGGATGCGGCCTGAGCATGCATGGGGCCAGACGAACTCACCAGAGGGATGTGTTGATTAGTGACCCTGAAAACCCTCGAACAAACTTAAGCAAACTAATACCCTAAACATCCCTAAACACCTTAAGCGATAAACGAATCTCAAACCCCGAACCCTGAACATCCGTACATGCTCAAAGCCCCCCCACCCCCAAGCCCAAAACCACATCCTAACAATGGAAAACACTTAAGACCTCAACAAAAAGCCCACAAAGTCCAAACCTGAAGCCCTCAAAGCCCAAAGCCCGAAACCATGTCCTAAACCTAAAACCCTCAAGGCACAAACGCCAAGAACGGAATCACAAGACCAAACACTTGATGCCCAAAAGCCACTGCAAGCATAGCATGGACTCTTGGTTCAATCATCTATCTCTTCTGATTCTGGAGTGTGTTTAGAAACAACTGAATAAACGGCGCAACCACTATCCATGTTTAAACTACATAAAACGGTACAATAATACACAAGTCTTGAACTAGGAAAACACAATCAGTGAGATCACAAATGTAATCACATCAACAAATCAAAGAGTAATTGTTGTCAATTTACTGAAGCACAAAACTACAGGTCAAGTTTCAGAGCTGATTGAGTACTGCAATGTTCCATTCAAAACAACTCAAAAGCCCTAAGCACCCCGAAAGCGCCCCAAAGCAATCACATTCAAAAAACACTTAAAACCTTATGCTTGTACAACTCCAAAGCCCTGACAGCCCTGACAGCCTTTCACATCTCCAAAGCCCTAAACACGAAACCCGAAACCCTAAACTCATAAACCTTGCGACCTTAGACACCCTAAGAACACTGAAAGCCAACCGTAAAGCCTTGCAAAGCTTTGAGCCCTTAACACCCGAAAAAACCCTAAAAGAACTCAGCCCCAAACTTCGAGCTCAAGAAACAACAAAAGAACCAAGCAAGGGCCAAACACCCGTACAACCCGTCAAAGCCCTCAAACCTGAAACTCCTAAACCTCAAAATCTGCAAAGATCGTGCAGACCAATCACATGCCCCAAAAAAGCCCACGACCTAAAGTGACAAACCCTGAAAACCTAAAACCGAAGCCCTAGTCGTGAAACTCTTACACCTTAGAACCCTGACAACCCCAAAGGCCTAAAAACCAAACATATCAAACACACCCTACAAACCTTAGACCGCCGAACCTTAAAATACCCAAAATCCCAGACGCAAAGCCCTAAACCCTAGACTCCTCAGCCTCAAACCTCAAAAACTCTAAAGACGCCAAACCCAAAGAACATATTCAGAAGCCAACAACCCTGAAAAAAACCCTAAGAACCCTGAACCCGAAAAACCTCAATCTTACTTACCCTTAATTAACCCGAAAACCCTCCATAAACACCCAAGGGCCCACACCCCAAAAACTACACCAGCCTAGAACCCCTACAAATCGAAAAAACCTCAAAACCCGAAACACCAAACTCCTAAACCTTAACGCCAGAAAAAACCTTAAGGCCCTAAAACCACAAAACAATTGTCACATGCCTACAATAACCAAGCCCCAAGCCCTAGCCACCTCATAAACCCTTACTTAAAGCCCTAAAAACCTAAACGCCGAAAAGCAATAACATCCTGGAAGTCTAAAACCCGAAGGCCTAAGCGTGAACAGACATACCAAAGATCCTGCAAGCCCTCAGTCACAATAAAGCCTGAATGCACTCAAGCCCTAAACACAAAACCCGAAACCTTAAACTCCTAAGCTTAAAAAAACCCTAAAGCTCTAAAGACACCAAACACAATTAAAACGCCCAGAGCGTAAACCCCAAACCCGAAGATCTCAAACCTGAAAAACCAGGAACCCCAAAGTCCTCTCCAAACACCCGCAAACCCTAAACCCTAAAGCCGCCCTAAACCCTAAACCCTGACCGTTTAAAACCCGAAGAACAAATATATGCATAGGCCTGCGAACCCTTGAACACTTTCAAAACCCTAAGCTCCAAAACCTTCAAAGTCGAAAAACCCTAAACGTACTAAACGGAGTATCAAAAGTCCACAGACCCTAAACCCTAAATTCCTAATAGCTGTAAGCTCCAAAGCCTTTCTTGGTACATACATGTGTTTTTGGTGCTCTGCTCGGTGTCTTTTTGGGTTGTTGGTGCATCAGACGGAATGACACAACACGAGAATGAAGTGAAGGGGAAGTAATGAGACGGTGTCCGGCGAAGACGGCTCACGCATGCGCACACACACACACACATGCGGATAGGCGCGCAGATCAAACATTCCACCATGGCCCCCCACCCAGAATCTGAGCTGAGCTGCAAGATGCGTGTCATACTTTCGCTGAACTTGTGAGGCTGCTTGGTGGCAACCTCGGTGTGCCGTGTGTAGTGGCCACCCTGCTTATGCGTGGCAGCTGAGATTCAGACCGCGAGCACGGCAAGCGCCAAGATTCTTTGAATTGGCCGCAGCTGGCTGTTCAAGCCTGGTCACAAGATGTCACAAGTATTCGCAAGGTGGCAGTATGGACATTGGCGATGTCGAAACTGAACGCGAAGTCCGAGCTCAAGGCGGACATAGCTCATGCTGGCAATCACGTTTGTGTTATCAGCATCGTCCTTCGTTGCCGCTGCATCGATGTCCTCATGCACAAAGCGCGCACTCCAGCTGGGCACCGTGATCAAACTAGGAGTCAGATTCAGCTAATGCATCCCGGGACATGACAGCAGCTTTCACTGGCTCAGGTGACACTTACCATCGAGAGGTATCGAGAGCCGGCGAATCGTGAGCCCACTCCTGACCACCCGCTGCAACTTGTCCATCGCCCAAGCTGTCTAGATTTCTGGCTGTTGCCTGGGAAGTTCCATGGAGCAGCTGCCAAATATTGCCAAGTTTTTGGAGCTCACATCCAAGCTGCTTTGGCCACGCGCGTCCACTTCAGCAAGCTGTTCATGAACCTGCATTGCAGTGCGCAGAGAGCCGTGCAACAGCTCGATTCAACGAAATCACTTGTGTTCTTCTGCCTGACAATGCCAGTGGGATCTTCTTTTGCGGCATTCCCGGAGTCGTCTTGCTTGTCGTCGTCCTGAGGCAAGCAAGGCCATGCCGGCTGAAGCCGCCTCGTTCCAAGTTCTGTTTAGAGAACCCAAGGCAATGTCCTGTTCTTGGTCAACCTGGTCCTTGTCACTCTCGAGCTCCCTCCTGTGAGTGCAACCCAATGCCTCATGGCGCCCTTTCCCAACTACTGGTAGCTTCCAATTGCTTCGATTGACTTTGCCCTACTGTAAAGCACTCCTGAGGCGTGACTCAATCGCTTCCACCAGGCGCAGGATGTACTCAACAATGCTCTCATTCCTGCCTGGACACGATCCGGAAGAGTCTTTGCAGCTGGTGACCACTGGGCTTATGATTTTTCACAGACATCTTCTCTACGGCACCGCAAGGAATGGTGCCTGGGCCTTTCTCAAAGGCAAAGCTGGTGTTTCCTGGCATCCATCGAAACCCAAAAAGCTGATCAAGAAATCAAGCTCACAAGCCATTCTCTGCAGCCTTTGCTCTTGTCGTCGGACGTGTCTTGCGAGACCATGCCCTGTGTGAGGCCCTGACATGGCGAATGTGGCTCAAGACTTCGATGCTTGCAGGCGCAACAAGGTGTAAACCTGTATGACGACTTTGGGAGGCTCATCTGACACCATTTCGATGTCGTCCTTTTCCTGGCCGAAAAAGCTGGCCAGGAGCATGTGAGGAGCATGAGAGCATGCCCAAGCACAATATCAGAACCTTTTGCCCCTTGACTCAGGGGATGCATTCTGCGCCAAGGCACCAGGAAGGGATCAAGCCTTTTGCCACTCATAAACTGCAGCTGATAGTAGATCGTGTCTTGAAAATCCAGCTGGAAGACCTGCCGTTGCGCCAGTGGCGAGTCTAGCGAGTCAAGCCAGTCAAGCAGCAGCGCGACCAAGTGTGAGACCAAGTGCACCTCTACGGGTTCGCCCGTGTCGTGTTTGTAGCGCTCCTTGAAATGCGCCTGCAAAGCTCTGCACAGCAACCCAGAGCATCTCTTCAACGGGCTTTTCGCTTAAAAGATGGAATCGAACTGCTGCGTTCGGCTGTTTCCACCATGTTAAAGAGTAAAGAACCTTTATACACGAATGGAAGTAACACAACACTGAAGAAATGGTTGCAGTTTGGGGCCGAAATTCGTCACCTGTGTTTTGCTACGCTTGAGTATCCTCGCAAAATAATACAAAGCAACAAAAACAAAACCAGACAAACCTGTCCAACAAAAATACAGCATCACACTGCCCTCACCAGTCGGAGAGCTGTATGTATGTTCAGTGGTGGCGCCGCCCTCTGAAGGAGGCGTGGCCCGTATTGACAGCATGAGTCCAGAAGTACAAAGCCAAGTAGCCAGACTCAAATCAAAGCCAGAAAACAACCAAAAACACAATCGGGAACTCTTCTTGAAAAGGGCTTACGTCTGTCTTGTTTCCAGGAGTTCCCGACAAATTGGTGTTTTTGTTGGTCATTTGGATTTGTTTTTGGCTCTGTTGGCTTGGTCGGTTGGTTTTGCATTGGTTTGTTTTCTGGTATGTGTATTCTGACAGTTTTGTCATTAGTTTTCAACCAGCATTGCATTTCATTGATGTTCTATTGTTTCGACCCATGTCTAGCTGGCATCGAAGAACTTTTTTGGGGCATGAAAAAAGTCATGTGTATTTAACTCATGCTTCTTCATGTTTGATCGCTAGAAAAAAGTGTTCGTCAACAAATACAGTAGATGTTGCTGGTTCTCGGCCTGTCAGGTGGGTATCCCAATAGCTGTCCTTCTTTGCCCGGTGCTCCTCTCTGAGATGACGGCTTTCTTTGCCTTCTTTCTCTACTACGAACCCTCAGATAACCTAGACACGAAGCCTTTCGGTTCTTCAATACAGTCAATACAACACGGAAGATTAGCAAAAACGCAGCGTGTCGATTTCGCCCATCAACTTTCATGTCTTTGCCCTGCTCCATCGTTTGCAGGGAGTCCCGCCTTGTCCTCGGCCTTCTGAGCTTCCGATTCTGCCAGCTCCATCTTCAGCGGCCTCGCAGAAGGTTATTGTTGAATCTCGATCCAGCAGTCGTGTAGTGTACTCTCTCGCCCTGGCTAACTTCAGCCCTCTTTTGATGCTCGAGGCCTCGTGTGGGCCAGTATCATCCTGCACTCCTTTAAAGCTCGCATGGTGCGCCGTAGCGTGCCGTAGCAGTTTGAAAAACAAGCGCGTCCTTGCGCTTCTCCACCGGCTGTTGAAGTGCAGATTCTGTTTTGGCCTGCCCAGCTTCTTCAGGCTTCGAGTTGAGGGACAGCTTTGCCAGTGTTGCCCTGAGCGCGCGACCAGCCACACAATGATCTCGTTCGGGTCCTTTACTTCTGGCTTTTCCTGAATGTGGCTACAGCGCGGCTGCAAAATGCGGCCACAAGAGCCTGATGAACTTGGGATGCCCTAGTCGGACCTGCCAATCCGACCAATCAATCAGCCTTGTTTGTCCAGAGAAGTTCTCACCCACCTGCACACCGTGCTCTCGTAGGAGACCAAGTATGTCAAGCAGCCAATTACTTAAAGATGCCAAGGTGATTAGGTGATTGCCGCCTGCCGCCCAACCTGTGGTACTGCTTTGATGGTCAGCCCTGGTGCTCCGGGCACGCGGAGCTTCATGATCTGACCAAGACCTGCGCATGCATCGCATGCTTGTGCCGGTTCCTAACCCGGGCTGTTCCCCCGCTGTGGTGTGCCGCGGTGTGCCTGTCTCGCTGGCTCGGGCTTTTCGAAGCGTGTCGGGGGCTTGAATGGGCTTGGTGGCCACCTCGGGATAGAGCTTGTGAACATAATCTTGCGACTTCTGCGCGGAGGAGTGTGTCGGCCAAGGTGCTGAAGGCTGGACGTTTGAGAGGCAACTGTACAGCACCTACGAGTACGACACTCAGCATCAGGTGGCTCAAGCCTGCATGCGGCACACGACTTTCCACGTGTTGAATGGCCTGCGCTACCAAAACTTGCTCATCCACTGAAAGATCATCGTCGCGGATGGCGCAGAGCGTGGCCATGAGGCGCCGCTGATTGCATCTAGGCCAGGCAGGCGGCTGCTTCCATTCAAATGCGAATTCCGCAAGCTGCCGAGGCACTGTTGCAGCACAAAGTTCATCAACACACGGTACCTTGGCTGCGGCTGCAATCTGACACCACCTGCACATGCACAGAAAATGCGAGAGATCACTCATGACAGCAGCAAGATGCTGTCCACTGATTCGACGGTCATCCTTCCGTCTGATCATCTGCTGCATAAAGCGCTGGAACTTCTCACCCTGATCCAGGGCTGTGAACTGCCTATTCATGATTCACCCCCTCTACTCGCATGGTTTCCGAACTGTTGGGAAAAACGGGATGGCGGCTTGATCTACCGAAGGTTCTCAGGCCGAAAGCCTCTGCGGCACCTGGCTAGAATCCTGAAGGTTGGGCAAAAACAATGATTCGCTGCCCCTTGTTGCCACTTCTGGGATCTTCGAAGTGCTCGGGAGAACGGACAGCCCATGCAAGGTGGAAACTCGAGCAGTTTGCGATGAGCGATAAGCGATAACGGGTACATCATGGTGCATCGGATACACGGACATCTGCACGCGGCCTGGCAAATCTCTTCAGCCCAGTGCTGACGCAATTCAGGGGATGGTCCAGCAAGAAGCTTGATCAAGAGATCCTCACTGAAGGCAAATTTACGTGCGGGGGTGGGGGGGGGGGGCAGTGTCTCAGCGAAGGCTTGGGGCACTCTGTCCTGCGTGCGAATGACCGTCGTGAAGTTGGACGTCAGGAAGCCTGGCACCGGTTGGCGCTCCGCTACCATGTATCAAACAATACAGATGTCAGATAAAGAGAGCCCATGCATCCGAAACAACCAACTTCTTAATCTGTTGGCATGGGGAACGGAAGAAGGTAGTCATCGCCCCCACGGATGGATCGGCCAGGCACCTTGAGAACCCCTCTTCGGTGAATTTCCGTGCATTCCGCAGCTCACTGACCCACTGGGCTGCGCACTCGACGTTCTCCGGGAAGTGGATGAGCATGAGAAGCTGGTGCACCACAATGGGCGCCCGAGCCTGGCTGTTCAAGCAAACTGCAGAGTAGAAGTTGCTAACAAAAGCCTGGCTTTATCGCCAGAAGGTCACCTCGGTGACGGCAGAATCCGGGTGCTGCTTGACAATGTGCTTGATCAGTTCCAGTCGCGCTTCCCGATCAATTCCGTCCTTGCAGCTTGCGGGGCTTTATGGGAAGCAGGGAAGCACCTGCAGCGCACATCGACGCTCTGGCTCAGCCTGGCTCCCCGTCGCTACAATGCCGCGAACGGTTCAGGGGTGGGTTGGTTTCTCAGGGTACCCTGAATACCCAAAATCCGCTGATTCAGCATCACTCACGCACTCAGTTCTCTCCTCGCCCGGAGGTGGAGTCCATGTGAGGAGGTTTGTCGCCAACTCGGCCACGGCCTCAAACGTTGCCGCCTCCCGCGCCTGTGAACCGGCCACAAGGGTTTCAGGTAGGCCCTGAAGAAGCCGTGAACACCTGAGTGTCTGCTGTCCTCCAACATTACACTGTAGACGTTGTCCATCTTCTTGCTGTCGGCGCCGCTGTCCGCGTCTATGGATCTGGGATGTTCGGATGCTACGTTTACATGGTCCACTGATAACTCAAGACTGGCTGCAGCTCCTCAATGCAAAGCTGCCGGAAAGGTTTCAGGGTGGGTCTGGGTTCAAATCCACCCAGAGCCACCGCCGTGCGCCGTGCAAGAAAAACCGCCACTGCAGAAGGCCGACGACCCATTCTGAAACACTTCCGAAAACAAGGGTCCTAAGTGAGAACAAAAGAGACAAAAAGCATTCGGCATTCATGCCTAGCATAAGCCAAACGTATACAAAAGAGCCCCTAGGCCCTGGGCCCCAGCACATGCACACCATTCACTACTTTGCCGTTTTGAACTTTTGAAAGGGAGTGCGCCGGAGGGGGGGGGGGGAAGAAGCCGAACGGTGGGCACTTTGACAATCGCAGGTGTCACAGGTGCAGATGAGCGGCTTTCGCAGCAGAACGCTGACAACCTTGCGTCTCTGCACATTCACGTCCAGAGTCTAGAGTCTACGAGTCTACACATGTCTACACTCTTTGTGTGTCGGGATCTTCGCGCGTCAGAGACCAAGAGTCCAACCTTCCGCATGTTGGTCACCACGGCCGGGTCTGCCAAGTTTCGAAGTGCTTGGCCGGCGGCCTGCTTCTGCGCCTGAAACAGCACAGTTCCAGCAATGCTGGCCGCAAGCTGCAAGCTTCTATGACCCGACCTCCAACGGATCCTTGAGCAGGTCGCACAGCACTTCTATGCCCTCCTCCGATGCAACCTGGCAGGGCTCCGCTACGTTAGACACTGTTAGTCAAAGAACAAACAGCCCAGGACCCAAGAAGCCGGGTGCAGAATAGTGCAACTGCCGATTGGGACTTGTACAAGGCGTGACACATCAAACTGTACACGAATCACAAGACCGACCCTGAGATGCGGCACATCGCAGCACGTAAACTACTCCGGGTGCTTTTGCCCTCCGGCCTTCAGGCGGGCATCGAAGATCTGCACTGGCAAGCCAGGCAAATGCACCTGACCGTTCGCCAAGGCATGCTGCATGCTACAGGCAGGCATTGACAAAATGAAGCATCACTTGAACAAGTCTTTGCAGCTTTGAGCGGCTGGGTCTGGAAGATCGTCTGCTCCGGTCAGGCCAATACGGCTGTGGTCGAAGTGCTGCATGTCGGTGCCATTGTCGTGCCATGCCTCACCCAGGCAACACGAAACGTGCACAAAGCGATTGGCTTCATGTCCGATGAGTCCGATGACATGCGCGTGTTTGCGCCACGGTTTGTTCTGCGTTTCATGCGCGGATACTCTCTCCGGGCCTTCAGCTCATCCCGCGCTTTCACCTCCTTGGCGTGCTGTGGTTCCATGGCCCTGCCACCCACCAACATCAGCTGGTAGACCTCTGCTTGTCTCACTTGTCTCTCTGCTTGCATAGTCGCTACTCGTCGGCAAACGCGTCGCTACAGACGTCGCGATACGCGTCACTACGCATGCTTGCCGCAACATGGCTCGGAGGGCACAGTCATGCGCAGTCCGGAGTGCCGCCCGGTGCTGCCAAAGAACCCAAGCCGAGGCAGTAGTGGACCTGCCATACTCCCAAGGTGGAGCACCAAGAAAGGTGTCCTGATGTCCTGGTTGGAAATTCACCTGCGAGCAGCAGCATCTTCATCTTGATGTACTTGAGATTACTTGAGTCTGGAAGCAGGCACTCCGACCCTGAGCCACCGGCCATCAGCTCGCATTGTAGCGTGTGCGTGTGAATGAGCTCACCATTCATGACCACAGCCATATTGACCTTGTGTTCCGATGGCTTTCGCGACATGCCATGAGAGGGCCAGGAGAGTAACTTTGGGGTCCCTGGCGCTATCGATGGCCACCACCTCGAGTCGAGGTTCAGTTTTGCAGCAGCTCCCCATTTCTCTGCTCGGCATGCCAAGTGCACTGCCAGATGCGCCCAGCGGTAGATTTCTACGAACTTGTTGGGGATGGTCAGTGTCTTTAGGCGCCCGTCGTGCGTATACCTCCGCACATAAGGACTTCTTTGCCCATGCACGGGTAGCTCCAGCCTGGCCTTACAATGATGGGATGGCAGCCGGGAATCACCTGCTTGTGGAGCACTTGTGTAGCCGTGAATATAAGTGGATTAACTTCGAGGCATGTCGGTGCTCCAGCATCGGTGTTCCGAATGTGCCACTTGCACAGTGTTGCCGAGTGCGGACATGGCTTCTGCAGCCTTTGTTTCTGTGGACACGGTCGTTGCATGGCCGACCCCGACAGCCAGCTGTACCTGGACGGCAGGTGTGAAATACAAGAAAACACGAGGACAAGCACTACAGGCTTTTCGCACCTCCGATGGAGATGTGCCCTTATAGAAGACAATTGCTGGCATATCCTTAGCTCATCTCAATTTTCTTCTGTGCCGCGACTTCGGAGAAAACAAGAAAAGCGGAGGCTCAGCTTGATGTTCGTCCATAAGGAAGATGTGAAGTGAAAGACTCCATACCTTGAGCAGCGTTGGCATGCTGAAAGCTACAGTAGGTGGGGGAGCTGCGATGACCTGGGTCTCTGACGACCTCCCCACGGGCAAACTCACACATCCAGCCGGCAGCATGTTGCTTTGGTCTCAGCAAGTTCAACGAAGTTGTTAAGGCCCACCTGTCAACGCTGAAAGAGAGCACCGACCTCCGAAGAATTGTAAGTTGTAAGGATCGTAGGAAAGGGCATGCGGGTTGCGGCGCACTTGGATGGCTTGTTCGAGAAGTTGGTCAAGCAGCGGATGATGTAGTTCCCGTCGTAACCTTGATGTTGCGTTGCATCATGGAACTTAAGGGGGCAGTGCAAACCAAGTGCAGGGTGTGCACAGAGCACCACGTAAAAAGATAAAAACCACTGGGTAAAATTGTGGATATGAGAATATGGATATGATGGATTCAAGCCGCAGAGTGCTTGATGCGAAGTTGGCTGGCAGTCGGGCTTGGAGGCCGCCTGAGTGTTGTTGTTGGCGATGTCCACGATCCTCATGATGGCCTCACAGGCAAGAGGTGGCAGGAGGCACGCAAGCTAGAACGTACTAGATACACGCGGACGACAAGCGCGCGCTGTGTTGCCTTCAGAGAGTCTTAGCCCCCCCCCCACCCCCGCCCTCCCCTCGAAAACAGCCAAGAATTGGCTGCAACACCGCGGTGGCGGCTGCTGTCGCTGCTGCTTCTGCTGCCTCCCACAGTGAGCACCTGTTTGTGGGTGTGTGTGTGTGTGTGCCCGGGTATGACCGGGTATGCCCGGGTATGCCCGGGTATGGGTATGACCGGGTATGCCCGGGTATGCCCGGGTATGACCGGGTATGACCGGGTATGACCGGGTATGCCCGGGTATGACCGGGTATGACCGGGTATGCCCGGGTATGACCGGGTATGCCCGGGTATGACCGGGTATGACCGGGTATGACCGGGTATGACCGGGTATGCCCGGGTATGACCGGGTATGCCCGGGTATGCCCGGGTATGACCGGGTATGCCCGGGTATGACCGGGTATGACCGGGTATGCCCGGGTATGACCGGGTATGCCCGGGTATGCCCGGGTATGACCGGGTATGACCGGGTATGACCGGGTATGACCGGGTATGCCCGGGTATGACCGGGTATGCCCGGGTATGCCCGGGTATGACCGGGTATGACCGGGTATGACCGGGTATGACCGGGTATGACCGGGTATGCCCGGGTATGCCCGGGTATGACCGGGTATGCCCGGGTATGACCGGGTATGCCCGGGTATGACCGGGTATGCCCGGGTATGCCCGGGTATGACCGGGTATGACCGGGTATGACCGGGTATGACCGGGTATGACCGGGTATGCCCGGGTATGACCGGGTATGACCGGGTATGACCGGGTATGACCGGGTATTCCCGGGTATGACCGGGTATGACCGGGTATGCCCGGGTATGACCGGGTATGACCGGGTATGACTCGGCCGTACTCGGGCGTACTCGGGCGTACTCGGACGTACTCGAGCGTACTCGGGCGTACTCGGGCGTACTCGGGCGTACTCGGGCGACTCGGGCGTACTCGGCCTGCAGTCGCGGAACGCGGCCGCAATGGATGTCTCGAAGCATGTTTTGAAGCCCTTCGTGGGGTGGCAGTAGAGGGCCCGAAGGACAACAATGAGCAGCATCCTTGGAGCCTTTTTGGGCAACAGACCTTGGATAAGCAGAAACCATCCATCTTCGGTCTACCATGGAGTCTACCCTTCCCATGACAAGCCCAGAGAAAGAGATGGGTGTTTGTATGGTGTTGCGGTGAGTTCGCCATGGCTTACTCGCTCATGGTTGAACATTTGATGTTGGATTGTTGGTCTTACAGAATCTTTCTAGGAGAAGTGCACGCAGTGAGTGGCGCGTGAAACCAAGCGAATGAGCTGGTTTCCGACTGAACAACCAATTGGCGGCATCTTGCGCAACCGCCACAAGGGGTGATGCGAAAAGTTCGATGAGTTGACAAAAGCAGTCCTCCTGATGGTAGGCAAAATGCTGACGTCCTTCTTCACCTCAGGTGTATGTGCACGTACAATATATGCACATATACGCAAACATCCACACAGATGTATACATGCATGGCATTGGTGGCTTGACCTGTCGGCGTCATGCGTCACATTAAGTCTGATGTCCAAGGAGCTGGATGAGATGCCGTGGTAAAACCGGGCCACCGAGATGTGCTGCCGGTCCAGCGGGACTTTCCCTGAACATCTCCGAAGGCAAAAGCTTAAACAGACATGATACCAGCTTCTCATTGCAAAGATACCCGCTTATTTTTAAGTACTAGGATTCCCTTACAAGAAGGACCCCACTACGGTAGCCCTCATATCATAAACCCCCCCAATCTCTGCAAAATCCCAGGCGCTTTTGCCACCGACCCCGCACTGCTTCTCGATGCTGGGCCGGGTTTCCAGGAGCTGGAACATGGTCCTGGGGAGCTGTATCTGGGGGCTGGGGGGTCCCATATTGAGTACCTTTTCAAACTGGGAAGCCCCTTATATGAGATGAATGATCCCCGGTTCCAAGGCATCCAGCCTGACGCGTTGATGTCAGCGCTTCAGCCGCAACACCATACTACAGTAGCCCCGGAAGCTCAGCCTCCGAGAACAGCTTACACGATGTTCGGGCAAACCCCCTAGCCAGATCAATTGAATTTCCTATGCTTTGAACATCTACTACTGGAAGAAATATTCAATGGGTATCCATGGGTGCTGGTCTGATAGTGGAGGGAAAGAAGCGTAACACCCCTTGAGACGGGCACTTTTGAGCAACGCGTCCACAGCAGCTGTTGCCCCTTGGCAGGCACCTGAAGAACCCGAGCTCATCAGACACCAGCTCCTTCCTACCACACTGAGATCCTGATTCCAGCACGTGTTTTCGTCGTTGCGTCGGGCCGTTCGTCGGTGCCACCGCTTGTGGACGGGAATGTGCCACTATGTGCCACTGCACTGTGTTGGAGCGTCCCTATTGCGGGCCAGGTAAGTTTGCGCTTTGCCAGGCAGCCAAGATCAAGTCCCCTTGTAGCGTCGCTTTCTCCGTATGAGCGCAGCGGCCAGTTTAATCCGAACACGTGGGTCTGCCGCAATGTGACCAGCTGTTGCAGGATCCTCGAGAACGGTAAAAAAGTCAACAAGGTCTGATTCAGCCACCTGCGGCTCAAGCACCTCTACGCCAACTCCAGCTTCATCGCAGAAACCTTTCACGGAAATGCCAAGAAAAGCAGAGGAGCTGTCGCCCAATCGGTCACTTGTCGGGAGATCACGGATCAAGTCTGTGAAGTCTGTGGGCTGGCCTCCCGGATTCTGCAGATTCTGATCGGACTCCGACCCCGTGACACCGGAGTCGGATACCTCGCATGTTTCTGCTTCTTCCTCTGTCTTCCAACTTCGCAGCACGGCAAACAGCTCGTTCACTTGAACAGGCAAGGAGAGCAGGCCGATTACAATGGCAACGCTCGTCACAAATCTGCCCTCCGTGCTGGTGACTGGGAAAGGAGCACCCTGAGAGGTAAATACATTGAGCATGTAGAAGCAAGCATCACCAAAGGAGTTGATTGCCGGATTTATCCCATTGCGGCCCTCGACCCTCCATAGTAGCCCGGCTGAGATTGACAGTGTGCCAACGGCCGACACCAGGATTCGCACCACCGACAGGCCGAGGCTGCTGCCCCTCCGCCCTTCGCGGTCCTCGATCACCGCCGTCGATTTCAAGAGGCGGAAGATGCGGACAAACCGGATCGAGCGCAACAGGGTCAGTTCCAAGCTAAGATCTGATGAAGGCGTCAAGGCGAAGGCCCGGTCTAGAACTGGCAGACACGAGACAAGGTCGGTGATAGAGCTTCCGCGCAGGAACCAGTTTGCTTGAAAATCGTTCGCCCAGGCACGCATCACCAGTTCGGCACAAAAGATCAGGTTGATCACATCTTCGATCGACAGGCCGCCGGTGCTGTAGCCGAACCACGGCTCCGACTCCACGAAGAGTGCCTTTGAAGGATTAGTCTCACCGAAGCAGAAGCAGGCCACACAAATCCCAATCAGTGTTACCTCCACTGCTTGATACCACGCCGGTGGGACCTTTTCAAGTGCTCGAATGTAGCCTTTCGCTGCTTTCGAAGTCTCGTTTCTCACAAAGTGCCGCGAAATCCGTCGGCACCGGGAAAGCTTCGCCAGGGGGGATGCAGTCAGCAACAAGATGGAACTTGCAGGACCCCACGAGCCTCGCCCACCCACCTGACAAGGCTGGTGTCCCCGTAAGGATGAGCATGAGTGCTTCTCGGCTATGGTCACTTGTCTGCGCAGAGGTGCCGGTGCAGACCGAAGAACACCGGAAGTAGAATCACGTAGCATTCCGGCGAGTCTCGGGGTGTCTCACGTCTTACTTTGACAAGGCCACGATCTTCATCTTTGCCGCTCTCGTTGTTCTCTTCTTGTTCTGCTGTCCCATCGCGCATTGGCTGGTTTGAAGTCTTGCAGCAGTGTATGCCTACTCCAGTTCTATACCAGCTCTCTGCCAGTAGATGTCAAGAAGCTTGGCAAGACAACCTACAAGGTGTTACGGCGAGGGCCACATGCTAAGCTGGTACCATCACAGCAGCGTTGGGAATGAAAGCTCAATCATGCTCAACACAGAGTGTCGAGGTTGCCGAGTCTTTCAGACTCGGCAAGCTCTTCCCTTTCAACCTCCCATACCTCAACTCAACCTTACTCCAGGCAAGAGTCTGAAACACGATCTTCTCCACGGTTGCGTCTTCCGAGATCATGGCCTGAGCCATTTCATAAAAAGCAGCACACAAGCGTTCGTCTCCTGCCACGCTTCGCTGACTTTGCTTTCAGGCTGCTGGATGCGGAGGCTTGTCACCTGAAGCGTTCATGCTGTGTAGGGTGATCCTGAAAGTAGGAAGCCTGAAACAGGCCTCGCTGTGCCAGGAAGGACAGCAGCATGACAACCTTCAAATCCACTTCGTTCTGCACCTCAAGACATGTCAATCTGCAGCATTTTGAGCCAGTGACACAAAATTGTAATACAGGACTCGGGGCATCCACCTTCTCGCCGCCTGGACCTAGGCCCTTTGCTTGCGAATGCAAGCTCGTGAGCAGCTTCATGAAGCCTGGGCAATGCGAGGTGTGCAGCGTGAACTATTCGTGACATGCTCCATGTGGTCCAGAAAGGTTGTCGGCCTGGCTTGTCGAGAATGAGCTGACGCCTCGCCAAAATAGTCTGCTCATCATCCGTGTCCCACCTCACAGCAAACTTCGGATTCAGACGCGGGGAGGGGTGTGAGTTGGCCTTTCGTGCGCCAGAGCGGCACAGGGCGGACCACAAAGCGATACCCCTTGTTCTCGCGGTCCACCGAATCCTGGAGATCAGAGAAAGCACATGTAGGCAGAATGAGCATCAGTCAACGCAAGGAATCAGAGGACTTGTGGAGAGCACCGCTACTCCTCGAGATCCTGCACAGAACTCAGGATCTCCTCGGACTCATACTTGAACCGCCACTGGAAAGTGTCCTCGTCTCATGTTGGGTGGGCCGAAAGGAGACAGCAATACCAGCACAGGATGCATCACAAGCAGTGATTAGACGAGACCACCTCCCCCCCCCATGTGGCGGAATCTGTTCGAGCAGTTCGTGCCTCTTCATCCAACCTCTCTAGAACCAAGAAGCGAGCCTGCTCCTTATGCCGTCGAGTCGCAGATTGGATCGTGACCCTGGGCACATGGTGGTGGTTGCTGCTCATGGGCCGCAAAACGCCACAAGAAACACTTCGGCTCTGGCTTGAAGGTGTCGGCTTCATCCGCATTGAAGCGAGACCAGATACCGCGGCGAATGCCACCTTTCACACAGACACGAGAAGATGTCAAGGCTTCTGTCTAACAAGCAATCGTCTGGTCCTACAACACCCCATGGGCATTGCCTTCCAGAATTTCCACCGAGCCGTTTCCAATCGGTATGTTGTCGAAGGTTATGATCTCAGTCGCAGCAGGAATCTGTGAGAGTCAGATGCTTGCAACCAACATGGACGTTCAAGTCAGCCAAGCTAAGCGGCGATGTTGGATGCATCGGGGATGCAACACTCGTAGATGTTGCTGGAGGCATGCATTTTCAGTCGCTGAGCCTGGTGCTCGCTCTCCTTGGCGTGCCGCTCTGACAGGTGACACTCAACTCAACCCCGACACCCTAAACCCTAAAACCCTCATGCTGCTATGCCGGCATGGAGAGCTGAGTCGGTGCATTCTCGGTGTGACGCCAGCCGACAAAATTGGCTAGGTCGTCCAAAGGCCTCCCTCACCTTCTTTCGCAGTCCAAAACAGCGCCGAACATTCAAACCTTCAAATCCAAGAGCTCCCGCGGATCCTCCGCGGATACCTAAATCCCAGATTTCCTCAAACCCGTATACCTCCGAGCCTGAAACCGTCAAAGCCTGCTCCTCAAAGCTTCCCAAGACTCTAAGATCTAAAGCCCGCAATGTCCTGAACCCCTATATGCCTGTATCCCATGTTGTTCCCATCTTGAACGCCTCCGTGTAAGCGTTTGCAAGTTCACCATGACTCCCACCAAAACTGGATGCTGACGGAAATCGGAAGGCCTGCTTCTACGCCTTTGACTTGAGTTTTTCTAAAAGCCCAGTGCTTTGCATTACTTTTTTGTGCCTGTCGGGCGTTCCAAGATGTAGCCCTAAGGGGGTTGCGCCGGTTGCGCAGCCGGACCCGACTGCATGTTGGCCCAGGCGTGCAAACCTCTGTGGTTTAATGTCCTTTGGGGGTCAGGCAAGCTCCTGCAAGCTCTTCTTTCAAGATTGCTGCGATAGGTAGCAGCTTCGGAGCCAAAAGTGTGTGAAATGCTTCTGACAAACAAGACCATGAAAGCTTAGATTCACTACAAACTGTAAACAAGGCCAGCATGTGAGCATTTGTCCTGTCAAGTGTACTACTTCAGCGGACGAGATGTGGACATAAACGAACCGAGGGAGCGCCCCCCCACCCTTGCGCCTAAGGATTTGTTATTGCTGGGCTGTTCTGACTTGTTTCTTTGAAGGGTCGGTTGTTGCGGTTTTTGCTAGGGTGCGAAACAAGACTGAGAGGAAAAACTGTTGGGGCCTTGGCACACCCTTGACAAGTAGGCCTTGACATTTGCATACCGAAAACTGTGCAAGTGCGAAAAGAGGAAAGACCGTGCTGGCTTCGAGGAAGCAAAAGGTGTGTGAAGAGAGAGCCAAAACATGTAAGCATCTTGTTGGTGACGGCGACGCATCGGAAGGTTGAGAACCGAAGAGCTGATCATCGCACGTCAAAAACTAGAGATGTACCAACGCAAACGGGTTCAAAAACACAAGCACGAGAAAGAGAAGGGATTACTAGATGAACGGGCCAAAACATACAAGATCAATTGCCTTGGTTCCCAGAGATGCCGCAGGCCCCTACAGAAAAAGGTAATAACAATCTGGAGCATTTGATGTTCTGCAACCGCACTTTCTTGTGGAAGGGGAGCAGAGGGTAACGTCTCTTGTGTGTCCCACGCTGCCGAACCTCACAAGGGAACAACACCTAATATGGTTGGTGCTCGTGAAGACTTGCAAAGCGGAGTTAGATCACAAAGAGACAAGACGATTCATGCGAAGTCAGGCTGAAGAGTTCAGTCTTTCGCGCAGGCAAGACTCGGCAGCTCGGGTAGGGTACCTAAGTGCACTGAGCCCAACTAATCGGACTCGACCGCATGATGCGAGCTGAAGTGCATTTATAGCCATGATGCCGCTTGGCTTTGCACACCAAGGATGGGATAATGCTCTGCCAAGGAACTCATCGCGTCCAATCATGTGGGTAAGCGTCTTCAGGACCTGTCGTACTGAGTTATAATACTCTATGTTTCGAAGATGTGAAGCCGCAGCACAGGAAGGTGGGCATCGGATGCTACAATGTAGTTTCAGCCAGGTGTCACTAAGAATCACAGAGGCGTTGTCCGGGGATCCTGGCGATCGCAAACCTGCCGCCCCAGCCTCGGACCAAGCATGACAATATAGCACACACAAGTACCCACACACACACACACACATGATGATGATGATGATGATGATGATGATGATGATGATGATGATGATGATGATGATGATGATGACAACAGAACTCAATGCGACATGACACGCTGCCCCAGGTCCCGTTTCCATTTCCCTCCAACCCCCTTCCCAGGCTGAGTTTGAGGCCGAGTACGTCCGAAGCGCATCGGTGAACTTGCCAAGATCGGCTGCTGTTGCATCCTGTGTTCACTCCGTTCGTTCACTATGCAATGCATTTTGCAAACAGAAGCTGCCGCTGTGGCAAATTTGCATGGTGGGACTGGAGGCGATACGGGCCGTCAGCGGCTTGACATGCTTCAAAGTGGTCCTGACATTCCTGCAGCAGGTAGCTTACCTCAGAACGCTCTTGCGTGCTGGTCCCCACCTCGGCTCCGCAAAGTGTTCCAGCAGAAAGCATGCGCCGGTTGCACGCCGTGATTTTGCAGCGCCGTCATCAACTTTGAGGCGTTAGCCAACAATCGCGTCTCGATGAACGTGTCGACGTAGGTGGGCGCTTCCACGGGAGGGAGAAGATGCGCTGTTGTACACAGCAGTGAATACCTCTTTGTGCAGGTCGTTGACTCGAGAAGGTTTCCAAGCAGATCCCCTTTACTACTAGTATGAGTAGTTGAACGGCTGAATTATGTTTCGGCGGAGGCGCATGTTCCTGGCGGCCTGCAGACGATTCTTCCAGGAATCTGCTCTCAGGGCTCGGGTGCTCAATCGAGCCGTGAGCCCACTTGTGTCCTCACCAGACATGTTGCTGTTGCTGCTTCTGCATGTCAGCTTTCCGGCTTAGGCATTGCTGTTTGCTTGTGGGCCCAACTAAGCAATCCGCTGACGCTTCGTCGTGCACTGATGGCAGGCCAGTCGAAAGAAAGTTCGCCATCACTTGCAGAAAGCCCATGTCGAACAGTGCCTGCATGTAAACACCAGGACCTTCTTACAGACGCGCCACTCCATGTCATGAGCAGAGCAGCAGAGCCGTCCCTGCCTCGTACGTATGAGGGAAGCGCAGCAAGCTGCCCAAAGCCAACAAAGCGTAGCGCTTCCGCTTTGTTGCTTCTGCAAGACCCATGAACGTAGCCTGGCTGCCTTGAAGCTACCACGTGACATGTGCACGCACGTGCGCAGCCTACAATTCTTCGACGGCATCCACATTTCCGTCAAGAGTCTGAGCAAGGTCTCAATAGCCAGGTAGAGCAACGACTCCTTGCGCTTGTTCTCCATAAACCTAGCAGAAGTCTGGGCACTCTTCAGGAACCTGCTGAAACCTGCTAGAGAATCAACTGCTGGCTACAGCAATGCTTCCAGTCTCATGTGGGTTGTGCCCCGGTCCCTCCCCTACGGCTTGGGGCGCCTTCAAGGTCTGGGGGTTTAGAACGTAATGCTTAAAGTAAGGCTTAAAGTCTTTTCGGGCTTTGGAGTTTCGGGTTTTGAATAATTTTAGAACTTTTGTTTTGGGGCTTCCGGGCTCGCCTCCAAATCTGCTCGGATGAGCACATTGCGGCCAACAACAGCATGTCTTCTGGAAACCGAACTTCCCCTGGCGCAGCAAGTGATCCTAGAGCTTTCCTGTTCATCCTCAGCCGGCTACAACTTGCCCCTTTGGAGGTTGTTCTTGCCATGCGAGCAAGGATGCAAGTATGTTGTCACGGGTAACAATGCACAGCTACGGTCGTGCGGCTCGGGGTGCCTCGGTCTTTGTCTCGCAAAGTCCCTTCCAGGATGGGTTCAAGGATCGCACGCGTCTTATCGGCTCGTGGGTCCATCAAGGGGATGTTGATGCGCTCGAGCACAATGTCCTGCAGGCTTGAGCAAGAGAGAGAGAGAGAGAGAGAGAGAGAGAGAGAGAGAGAGAGAGAGAGAGAGAGAGAGAGAGGGGGGGGGAGCTTGTGGACAAACTTCTGCACATCCCCACCCCCCCCCACACCCACTTATGGCTTGCCGGACTTGTTCTAAAACTCCATCTAAGGCCAGGTCGTTGCTGGGATTCGGCAAGACTTCGGCTTCAAAGTCACGAAAGTTGCAGTAAGCCTCAAGAGCTGGACGTCTTGGCATGTCCAAGATGACCATGAGCAGAAGACTGACTTGTCTAAGCTGGCGGCAGCATAGATCGAGTTGGAGCTTGAGACCGCCGGAGGTGTGACGCCAAGCTCAAAGCTAGGCCATGTCACGTGGGACATTGGCAGCTGGCTGAGTCTCTCCTGTCAACACAGCTGCTACGACAAAGATCTTCCCACATGCTCACACTAGCTCGTGCAAGAGGCCTTCTTACCAGGGAGCTGGAACTTGAAGTGGTCCTCCAAACCATCAGCATGCCGTATGGACTTCAATCTGCCGGATGTCTGCAGGCCATTGCAATCAAGAGGCGTATGTCAAGCCTCAGGCAACTGGCACTACGACTGAGACCTATCAAGATGTGCAACTACAGAGTTCCTGCCGCTCCCACACTTTGCATCCATGAAGCTTGCGAATAGATTGGGAAGCGACTGAAACATCTGCCCAGCCCTCGCGAAGGCTTGCAACATCATCGCCAAATGCACAAAAAAAGCCGCTGGCCCGCTGGTCACGAAATGTCACCGCGGCTCATCATGTTGAATATTGACTGCGCTTCGAGGATTCTGGGTGCCCCACAGACCCATGTGCCTTCATTTTGTTGAGTTCACGGTGCGCACGCAGTCTCGTGCCACAGCTTGCAGCTGAATGCTGTCTCAGCCGCACAAACGGAACCAGCACGGACTGCGGTGGAAGGACAAGACATTGGGCATCGATCAGAACATCATTCAAGAACCTTGGCACCCAACCGATGCTGAAGCCCATAACTGCCATGCTGCTTTGATGCTTCGCAGTGGCATGGAGATCCAGAGCGCAGAGTCCACAAAAAGCAGCTGCATTCGCAGGATGCAGCCTTCAGTGACTTCAGCAGATGTCGTTTGAGGGTTGGGGGCTCTTCCTGCAATGCCCACCTCGCCGAGTCAAGCTGATCTTCACTGACTCTTTGGCCTGTCAAAGAAAGCTGCTATCTGCACGGGTGCCATGTAGGGAACGAGCGCGGTCGACATTTACCATCTGGAGTATCCCTGACTGCACTCCGCGTGCACCCCCTTAAGCATGTGAATGTCCGCAAAAACTGTTGTGAACATCTGGCTGAAAAATCAACAAACCGTCTGGGGCTGCGGGCCTGCCGCGGGCCTATTGTTTTACGTGGACTTGCGATCTATGGAGGATGCGCCTTCGAAAGTAGCGACGTAGATTCATTCTTTAGGGCACCGCTTACGAAACCTATCGTGCGACAAGGTAAAACACGATTATTTTCTCAGCCAGAGCTGACCACGCGGAACTTGGGTCTGCATTTACAGCAATCACTTAATTAATTGTCCATCCCCCAAAAAGCAACCGGTAACGCTGCACTCGCATAAGGTGTGGATTCGCAATCAGCCTCGTCCAAGTCTCTCAAACCTTGGTTAGGGTGGCACGGTGGGAACAGCGGGACTTAGAGATCCGAAACGCATGGCACAACCAAAGACGACCCTGAAAAAGCAAAAACACACTGAAAATGGCCCATTGAATGGCCGAGAAGCGCTTGTCCGGGGTTTGCTGTACCATTTTGGTGTCCAGCGTGACATCTAATGTTGCACAGCCTCAATGGCACTGCTTGATAGCACATAGAGGCATAGCACGTGTGGATCGCTACGCACTTGCTGCATCTGTCTGCAACTGTGAAGTCTGTGACGCTATGTTTTACACATTGCCTTGCCTCGCAGAGTTTGCAAGCCCCCCTTTGTCGTGTGCAGCGAAGCCGCTTGCGCGGTACAGCTCCGAGAAGTCATTCTGCAACAGCAAGCCTCGCAAAGGAAGCGGCCCAGGCAGCAAATTCAACCATGTCCGAATCGTGCAGGCCTACAGCGCACTGCTCCTTCTTGATAGAACCGTTCACAGAGGAGGGATGGTGGATCAGCCACTGGAATTGATAAGCGCCACGCTCCTTGGACATCGAACATCTTCTCAACGCACTTTTGTTTCACCCCCTCGCCTTGCGTGTATCCGTTTGTGGCATCCTCTTCAATTGCTGCCACGTCTCAGACAAACATGGCCTTGGCAGAGAAATGCAAACAAGCTTTGGCGCCTTGATCATCAGCCCTGCTTGCAGTAGGCTTACAGCTTGGTGCCGAGATACTGTGCACAAGGCCAGCTGCCCGTGCCCACCGGCAAGGCCATGCCAGGGGAAGCGGTTGCACGAAGAACTGCGCAGCTGTGAGGCCTCAAAACCGCTGTTTCGGAGCACACTCCCCTGCAAGCTTTGAGGCCTTTTGTTTCTTGTTCGTGAAATGAAAAATCGCCAGCATAGACTCCAATCCGTACGACTGCGACAACAAGAGGGGAGACAAGAACGGAGACAAATCGGGCGGGGGGGGGGGGGGCGGACGCATCACACGATCCCGCTCCGGCTTCAAATCGGAGACGTGTCACACGATCCCGTTCTGCCTACCTGAGCAGGGGAGACAGGAAGGGAGAAAGGTAACACTGGGGGCAAAGGAGACATGAAGGGAGGCAACCCCGAAGGCAGACTAGAAGGGAGAATACCTGAGTCCAGCTGAGAACTCCTCTAAAGTAAAGTAAACTGTTCAAAAAAAAAGCCGGGAGGAACAGCAGGACTTTTTCGAGGCGACCCATCCCCCAGGAAAAAAGAATTGCCCAGACTGTCCCTGTCGTACTCAATGCTATATGTTCCTGATTGTCTTTGGCTACAGACAATTCTCGCAACAGCGCTCTGCATGGTGCTGCTTCAGAACTGTTGCACTAGGTTGCAAATTCCTTCAATTCTATAGGCTTTTTCATGCAGCCTCCTTCCACCGGTGTTGGTGAGGGACGTTCACATGCCGTACCATGTCGGAATTGCAACGGTTGCAACGGTAGCAACACCATCCCTATAACGAGTGCCAACGAGCAACAAAAGGCCATCCTGCAGCACGAGCTTTTCAGAGATTGCCCTGGGCGCTGTGTAGATCCTTGGTGCTCAGCCCTGTAAACTACCACTACTACCACTACCCTGCCTGGCACAGATCCCTAGGCCCTAGGCCGTGTGTCTGCATGCCTCCAAGAAGCGGCACGTAGTCTTGTGAGCAGAACAGGCATCCGGGCCATTGCAATGAGACGTTGTATCCTCGGTCGGAGCGCCTCTAAGATTCAGTCTGGCAAAAAGGCTGCCACAGCCACTGCAAAGATGCCGAGCAGCGAGATCGCACGGATGGAAAGACTTTCGTGTTGGGTCCTGGGCCAACGTTGCTCTGCATCAAATGATACTCAGGCTTGCAGCCTTCTGTGAACCACATGTTGACAGATCGATTCCTGACTTCTGTGCGGCCGCCGTCGTTGTGACGGTTGGGCCAACGTCTGCTGACATGGGAACAGCGTCCAGTATGTAGCCACGGTCCTCGCGCTGGACTGGCAAATGGTACTGACTGACATCCGGCACAGCAGCAGGGCGTCCATTCCAAGTAGGACTTTCGGAGCCGAAGAATGTGACAAGGAAAGTCCGACCCACTTTTGCCCTGGTCCTCGTGGATGATGGGCATCAAGCACACAAATACGGCTTGATTCCCAGCCACCAGCATGGCATTGGGCGCTCCAGCATCTGCAAACTCTTTGTTGAGCTTCTCTGCGGGCTCCTTAAAGTTGTTTCAAGGATGAGGCTCATCAAGCTTGCTGAATTCAGTAGCTGCTTTGGCACGCAGATCCGAGCGCAACTGCTCTTGCAGCTGGGGGTCGTAGTTGTCCCAAACTCGCACATAGGCAAGATCGCAGAGAAGCTGGTTGCAAATCTTCTTGATACCTTGCCACACAAGGAATCTAGTGTGTTTCTGATTGCGGTGCAAGTAGGTCGCAAGCTTGCGGACTCCAAGAGATCGAGCGTAGGCTCTTGGCTTCTGCATACAAAATGCCTGCGCTGACTTCTTCAAAGCTGCTTCCTGTTATCTGCACTTCACATCCGAGATATGCTTCGGTACGAAACATGTCCTGAGAAGGGCTCTCCGCAACAAAAAACTCAACAAAGCAACGGCTGCAACAACTCAAGACTCAACTTTCTTGTAGAAGTCTTTCAGAAATCTCAGAAGTGCGATTCAAGAGTCCTTGGTGTAGCTCTCGATCGTAATCCGCGGCTCCTCGCCATCCCAAGCCGCAGCCAGCTCCGTCTTCCCGTCGACCTTTGTGTAAATCTTTGGAACGCAGCTTCTGCACACAAAACTAGGCAACCTCTAGTCTGAACAGCTCTGATATGGCAGCTTCTGAATTGTAAATAGCATAGCTACAAACGCAGAATGGCTTCATTTACGACCAACTTCATATAATAATCGGGATTTCTGGCTCAGAACAAGTTGCGCCACCCCTGGAAACCCCAAAAAAGGGAATCCGTCATTCTTCTGCAGCCGCAGAACATAGCCAATGGTGCAGTGCAACCAACCGTCGGGGCCAGTTTGCGGAGGCAACCTCGACGACTCTAGAGCCCAATGGCAAGACAACTCCAAGATTCTGTGCTTACGCCTGTCCGCCTTGCCACAGGCATGAAAGACGAAATAGGGCAAGGAGCTTCAGCTGTGTGACGTTTTGGAAGTACACGAAAGTCAGAAACCAGCAGTTCTTGGTGTCAGAACCTGTGGGAGGATGTAAGAAACTCGGCCTTTGCGAACTTTGCAGGGCCCTGGGGAACTGGGCCTCACTGACTGGCCTTTTCGAGAAGTGCTCGAAGAACCCAGATCAAAGTGCTGCGGATTCTGCATCACTACACACGCCGGCAAGCGAACGTTGCAGGCCAATTTGCACAAACTGTCCTGTGAACCCTATCAGGCCAAGCAACCCGTGTACATGCCTTCCTTAGCTAGAGGGAATTGATGTGTGCAGAAGTTGTGCTGACGTGTCCATGGAACACAAAACCTTTGCAGTCTTCTCAACTTGACGGGCGGGCATCTTTTCCTGGATCATTTGTGGTGCTCGGCAAACTCTCGATGCAGATTCGAAATTGATCCCGCGCATCGGCGTGAGCTGAAGATGATGCTACCCGCCTCTGATCAAGAGCACGCTGGACGTGAACTACTTCCTTCGGGCCTTCGATCTACATGGGCATACGGCATACGAGTACAGAGGTCTGCGTCGACATCGTCGACTAAAAGTGCTGCGAACCATGAAACCCTGCAGAAAGAAACTGCAGACAGTGCATGCACGGGAAGTCTTGAAGCAGTATAACTGCCGTGACCATTGCTTCAAGGAGCTTCTCATTGACGTTGGCCATGATGGTCTGGACTTTAGCGCCTTCCTCCAAGTTACTATACCTGTGCACATCGCACAGAGATTGGTTACCAGGAGATGACGAGGCCCTGCTATAGTCTGCTAGACTGTGCTGAGGCAGCTAAAGGTGCTACTGTAAGACGTGCTTGCGAGCCATTGCAATGCAAGTGGCTGTCGAAATCGCAGCTTGAATTCGAAGGAAAATGACTCATCGTTCCTGGGCCCACATACCAAAGGATGCGCCGAAACGGAGTGCTGCGCACAGCTCGGCATGCCCGGCATTGAAGCAACCATGGCGCAAGTGCAACTTGATGACTGGCGGCACCTGCGACCTCAGCACAGGCATGGCACGAGAGGATGATCAAGTGGGACGGGCGCGGGAGTGCTAGTGCTAGAGCGGATGGAGCGGGAGGCAGACATGTACTTCAGGGACTCAACAAAGCCGGAAGTCATCGTCATTTCGAAGCGTGCGGCTCTGCGGTGCTGCATGCCCAAATGCCAGGCAGGGCCAAGCATGCTCATACATGCTATATATATATATATATATATAAAGCAAATACATATCGGCCAGCACACTTTAAAAAGAACTCTTTCGAAAACTAACTATGCTGGGCACCAGGCTTCACCTGTGAAAAATTCACTGCCCATTGTCGAAGCCGCCGGCTGCAAACTTCCTGAAGCTCAAGCGTACATGCCCACTATTGCCCACTGTTCAGCAGGCATGAAGCAGGATGCACGCCACTTGCACCCCAGAAAAGCAAGAAAGAAGCTTGCAAATGTAACGTGTGTTGCATGTTGCTCTAGGCTTCACGTGAGGCCCTGTTTTGGGGTTAGAGCACGCTTGCCCAAGTGTTGACTAAGTGGGGGTCATCCAGGTCGAAGCAGGCCGCCAGCAAGTGGCTTGCTGCGCAGCGCAGGGCACGCACCGCTTCCAACTGAAACTCGTCGACCTGGCAGCGTGCGCCCAGCGCAGGTTGCTAGCGAGATGCCTGCCTTGTCAAGCCGAGACACTTCTGTCTCGTTCATCAAGTGGACCTCACTGGAGATGGCAAGCAGAGCGGGCTTACAGTTGACTGCTTCGGGTCAGCTGGTCAGTGGAAACTGCAACCGGATGGGTCGGATGTTCGGAAGTCTAATCCGGAAACCCTGATAAAGAAGCCATGATTTGGAATCCACGGAAACGGCAAACCACGGCCATGAACCAGATTGTTCGGGGCTGTTTCGGATTCGGAAGTCACTCACGTGCCCCGCGCGGGGTAGTGTAAGCAAGCGTGTCAATTCTAGCAAGTCCGGCATTCTCCCTCCTTTTCGCTATACAGAGGGACCAAAAGAACTATCCCACAACGGGACCCGATCCCCCTACATGGTACCAATATTGGTACTGGATTCCACATTTGACATGGCCCATGGACCATCTTCTGAAACGCAGGTGGCCCAACTGCGAGTTTATGATGTTTTTTTCTGAAAGACTTCCCAAGCTCTCTCTTGTCTCCCGAGAACTCCAGAAGCAAGGGGCTGCTACAAGGGGAATGCGTTGTATGCCATTGTGCCTTCGAGGCAAGCAAGGTCAAGATTTGCCCTTCCAGCTTCTCCCAGATGTCACTGGTGACCTAGGCAACAAGCCCAAGGTTTCAGAACAGCCCATGCTACTCCACGTTTCATTCTTTAAGCTCTCTGCCAACCAATGCAACGGAGTTGGCTTCCACTTGACGTACGGGTAGATGCAACATGACCTCAGCTGTCGTGAGTCAGGCCGAGTTCTTGGGGAGGCGACTGCTTGCAAACTACTTTCAGACTCAATGGTCGTGACACTCGCTTTGAGGTTGTCTGAGCTCAGCTGTGACACTCTGTGTCTTCCGCAGATTCGAACGTCGACAGATTCAGCGGAAGTGAACGGCGTCCTTCAACGATGCGGCCAGGATGTGGCAAGTTGCCACAGGAGTCGCATTGCCCCCGGCCTCCTGCGTGGAGCACTTGAACTTGTGAGGCGCTGAGCCCCTCGTCATGGTAGGCCCTCGGGACGGACTCTTCGCAACTTTGCAGTTCCTTTTGCAGACTTGTTCGAGTTTTGTGCTTGAGACAGTTGAAGCAGTTGAAACAGGCTCCAGGCAGTTCAAAGATGTAGCCAGGAAAGAACCAGTTCATGGCGTGGTAGGGCACCTGCCATCCAAACGGGGAGAGCTCCACTTGCTGCAGGTCACGTCAAGCAGCGAACTACACACGGGCCAATCATGCTCAAGCTGAAACGCTTAGCCGGGATGCGACATCAGGAGGCGGTATACCAACATAGCACGTACCCCGCTGAGGACCACGAAGATTCGAGAACTGCTGCATGCCTGAGGTCTCCTCGGCTTCCGTCTTTTCACGAGACAGCTGGGTTCAGGGTTTTCTTTTTAGTTCCCCTGACCTTCTGCATGGTCAGCTCTGCGTTGACGTACAAGATCACGTGGCGTCGGCCCAGCACCAAGCAAACGTGTGCCTCGGTTGTTCTACAGCAACATGCGCTGAACACACCACCGAGACACTTCAACAGAGGTAGGCTACCTGCAAGCCAACAATTCTTGTGCCAGCTGAAGGTAGTCGGATCTGACACTTAGAGACCAAACTTCAAACTCTGAAAATATGACGAGGGCAGAGATAACATACATCACACGGACATCCACACAAGCGAGTTCAAGCAAGCGCGCAAGCAATCACTTTCATGGCTGCACCACGATGTTTCCAGGCTTCCAGAGCGTTTCATGATGTCAGCCGAGTATATTTCCACCAAGCTGCCCAAGTATGTCGCTTGAGGCCTCCCGTGCCCTCATCGGGCACGAAGTGGCTCGCACCTCAGAGCTGCCACAATCAAAAAAAGACGGGAAACTCGCAGCGCAGCACGCAAACGTACGCAAGAGCTCGAAACAAAATTGCTGACGCAGAGCCCAGGCGGACCTCGAACCGGCAAGCGCTGTAATCTCTCCCGGGGCCTGCGAATCATTTCACTGTCCGCTGTTCTGCTTGCATGCGCCTATACTTAGCCGACTTCCACGTGTCTGCTGCCGTCCTGGAGCCAGGAAGAGCTGAATTTGAGGCACAGTGCTTGCAGGCGTGGCGTGGCTCATGATGTGGAAGATCCTGGCGAAAAGGAGTGCTATAAAGCGTGTTGGCAGCTCGCTGCCCAGCTGCCACGCTTTGCATGCTGTCCTGGTGCCAGACTCGCTTCGGGCCTTAGAGAAACTTCGAAAAAACTCAAACATGGTACCTTCTGGATGTCTCACAGGAGTGATGACTTTTGAGGAAGAGGCCACCCTGTCGCACATTGTGGTTGTTTGCAGCCACGGCTGAGCGCTTGGCCACTTCATCTTGCATGTACAACCACATTGAGTATGCGAATGGTGCCATGTGGAACGACTTCCTCCCAACATGATCAGTTAACTCATCTCAGCTCAAAGTACCCTTCGAGAGAAAGCAGTGTCCTGGGTAAAGCTATCGATAAGCCCTGCGGTGGAAGACCTTGATATGGCTTCTGCGTCTTCGGATCTGGTGGCAACATGCAGATGTTGACCTCACGCAAATCACGTGCCGCTCCGCTCTCGAAGCACGATGCTCCATCACACAGGTCCAGATTGAGCCGAGCTTCGAAGCGAGTGATGTGAAGAATCTTGGTTCAGTCAGCCCGCAGCAACACTCGCATTGTGCAGCGTTTGATGCACCACGATGCACACTGCAAAAGCCGAGGGACTGGTTGCTTCCTGGCGGTTCGGCCACCTCGAGCAATTCGCACCAATCCAATGGCTTTCCGGCACAGTGTGACACGAAACCGTGCCTAGCACGCGGATGGCCCGCATGCCTCTTGCCAACACTGCGCAAGGCACCCATCAAAGGTTGCAAGATGAGTGTCCAAGTTCCGGGCATGCCGCCCGCATCAAGGGGTCCGAAGAGTTGACCAGCAGCAGCGCAAACAAGTACAGGTCCGAGGTTTTGGCTCCTGCGTTCACGATCAGCGGCCTAGGAAGCCTGTCAGACTGAGAATTCTCCCGATGCCTCTGGCCATTCGGGGGGCGGGGTGGACAAGCCAACAGAACTTTTTAGACTCTTGTTTTGGTGGTTTCGCAGTTTTTTTGGTAGAGTCGACGGTGCCGCCCAACAACTGCAACACTCTGCGAACATGTGAACATGTCCCTCTCGCAGGCACGACAGCACTGTCCTTCATTTTGCGGGTCCCTGAGTCTGGTGGCCCCGTACTTGGGCCGAACCTCCATCTCCTCGTAAGTTGGGGTCCATCCAGCCTGGCATCCGTCTCTCGACCCCGGTTCCACTTCTCTGAGCTGAGAAGTCCTCCAGGAAGTCGGCATAAACGGAAACCAAGGGCGTGAGGACGCGGTAGTCGAGAGAATCAGGAGCTCTCCTCTAGCACACAGGCTCACACCCCCCCTACCATGCCCTACTCCTCCAAGCACAGACAGCGCATGTATCCTACATGAGTTATATGCTGCGCTCTCTCAGGAGGTCGGCCTCTTCATGGCCAGCTCCAGGTACATGAGCAAGGACTGGAAGGGTGACTTGATGCTTTCGGGCTTCCTGCCGAGGCGCTCTGCGTAGCTGCAAGCTGTGGTAGTCTGACCCATCCCGACTCCAAGAGACTGCATCTGCACCACTCCAGCACCCCAAAAAAATTGCATGCAAACAGAAGACCAACCAGGATGGCCCTAAAAACCCTCCGATGAAAATCCTACATCTGCTCCTCCTAAACCGAATGGGGGAAAATACATCTCCCAAGGGCCTGCCTAGAAAAGATAGAAAGCGGCAATCCAAGGTCGTGTAGCCCCCCGCCTCTTTTTGCCAGAATGACAACAAACCTACCACCCACAAGCACACCAAGTGCGCAAGGCCATGTTTGCGAACAAAGTCCTGTTGATGATGGCTGCCAGGACTTTGGACATGGTTGACACCCACTGCGGTTCTAGCCGGCTTCTCATCATGTCAAGCAGTAGGGGCAAATTCTTCCACTCATTCCGGCCACCCAGGATGGCATCCTGCCAGGCATGGCAAGCCACAAGGCCCTAGCCCCGTCAAGTGTGTAAAGATTTCTAGGGGTGAGGAGATTGCCTTGAATTCCTTCACGCGCGCAAACGTATAGATGGTATTTTCCTCACAAAAAATGACATTGAGATGATTCTGCCCATGCACCACGGTACCGTTTCTGAGGGGCTGTCCGCTGCCACCATCTGCAGTTGCAGAGATTCATAATCGTCCTCTTGTTCGTGAAATGAGAGGGCAACGTTGCTGCATGAGGCCACAGAACAGGACAGTCCTCATGTGGACGTGCGGCAACCACCTTGTAGACCACCGTCCTGTCAGGTCGTCAATCTGCTGAACTGCAGTAGTAGCTGCTAGCTGGATTCCAGTCCTGACAACCCGCAACATGTGGATGACCGGGCAATACTGTGGCTTCAACGCCTTCCAGGGATGGCGACAAGTCACTGAGCTCACTGAGGTAGGACAGTAGGCCCTTCCCCGGCCCAACCACCCCCTCCCGCATTGGACAAAGAATGGTTTAATGTTAGATGTGTACCGGTCCGGTATTCGTTTTGGGATGCACTGACCTTCAAGCCCGACCCATCCCAGATAAGCCCAGTCCAAACAGCGTAGTTGTAAGAGGAGGGGTTGTGGGCCAGCCGAGGCCACCAAACAGGCAAAACAGGCATGCTTGAGAGCACTGGGCAACTGGTACCATGGCTTTGTTCCAAGCGCGTGAGACCGCCGATCTGTTGGACTTTTCTTCTAGCTAGAACAACAAGTCACCCCAACTCACCCAGTCAGAGCATTCTCGCTACCTTGCTTCTTCAACGGTCGGCTTCTCTTTCTTTCTTTCTTTTCTTTCTTTCCTTCTTTCCTTCGTTCTTGGAGCAAGGGGAGGTCCCCGAGCCAAGGCGCGCGCCGACCCCGCGTCCCGAGGACTTTGCACAACTCGCAACGTGACCGGTGTTCGGCCACGACACAGCGCCCGGCTTCTCTCTTCTTCTTATTCTTCTGCGTCTTCTTCTTCTTTCTTCTTCGGGGAAGCCCTCGGCGTCCCACGGCCCCTGGGCCCAGCCCTGGAATTCTGGGAGAAAAGCCAGACGTCAGAGGCAGGTCTCCAGGACTTTGGGCCGCTTTCGGTGCTTAGTTTGGAGAGGTTCGGCTGTGGGTTGACAGGCTGAAGCTTGACAGTTTGCGGGTGGGGGGGGGGGGGGTTCTAACAGGCCCAAGGTTCACGGCTGGGTGTTTTTGGGCTTCAGGCTGAGGTAGAGGTGCTTACAGTTGAGATTGAGAGTTTTGATGTGTTTTGGGAGAAGGGCCAACTTTGAGTTTAAGAGTTTAAGGGCTCGAGAGTTTGTGAGAGTCTTCAGGTGTAAGAAAACCTCAGAAAGCTCCATTTGCAGGAGGCTGTGCCCAGACCTGCCTGGATCGGCTGTTGGCGAAGTCCCTTCAGTGAAGACTCCAGCTCAAATGCCAAGACCTTGATGCCAAGTTTTGACAAGTTTGAGTAACTGCCACTGCATCTTTTGAATCCGAGACACACCGAAGGCCCAGTTGACGGCCTGAAGTGCCGGAGATGCAGGCACGGGCGACTGCAAAGCTTCTCTCCTTGCCTGCACCACCCCAAGTGGAACACCTCGTATGCTGTGAGGATCGTCGGGTGGAGAAGGCAGCAGCTTGTCGATGAGCTTCCTGCGGCAGTCGCTTGCTGTTGAGTTAGAATGACATAACGCAGACTTGCAATGCCCTAAGCCCTGCATACACATATGACGCTGCCGCAGTATTTGGTGAGCAGACCTGAGCAAGTTTCATTTGTGAGTTGAATGGATGCTTGGCTTTGTGTTTTGTGGCCATTTTTGGGAAGGTGCTGTGGTGCACCGGTAATCGGTCGATCTCCAATCGCGAAGGGCTCCTATAGAGCGTCTGACCATCAGACCGGCAAAAAGGTCGAGTGCTCCGAAGAGATCCCATGATTGCCATCATTCCCTGGGGATGATTCATAGCATTTCACGTTGTCACGAGGTTCGCTTGCCGGGGCCTTCTCGGAAGCGCCGCCGCTACGTGCACCGACACATACAGGCGGCATCACAAAAAGTTGGCACACGCTGGCACGGAAACACCACTTGCATTGCGCTGTGCTTGTGCGAGATGGGGCAGGACTGACAAGGGGATGTGCTGGACCAAGTTGGCTATCGCACTAAACGAAGCCAAATGCATTGGATGTTCCGGTCACAGCCTCAAGTACTGGGGCAACAGGCAAATCCGCCAAGCATAACTCAAATCAGAAAACACCAAGGCACGAATCAGAAACAAAAAAGTCAGCAAGAGTGGGCACTCAAAACCCTGCAGACCCCTAAGCCTTAATAAATCCAAACCGAAGAGACCCTCAACCCTAAACGCAAAAAACCCTAAACATAGGCATGTTTTTTCAAACCCATCATGCGAGCATTGCGTTTGCGAATGGGGCGGGCTGCGCCCCCCTTCCCCCCCGCTTTATTCTGTTTCGAACCCATCATGCGAGTGTTGCGTTTTCAAGTGGGAGGCGGGGCTAAAAATCCCTAAGCCCTAAGCCCCAAAAACCCCTAAAGCCTAAAAACCCCTAAGCCCTAAAAACCCCTAAACCCTAAAAACCCCGAAGTCCTAAACCCCAAAAGCCCAACCCTAAACCCTAAAACCCCCTAAAGCCTAAAAACCCTGAGGCCTAAACCAAAAAAGCCTAAACCCTAAAAACCCCTAAACTCTAAACCCCAAAAAACCCTGCAAACACCTTACACCCTAAACCCTAAAAACCCCTAAAGCCTCAAGCCCTCAACCCAACGCAAAACCTGAGCCCCAAACCGAAAAAAAAACCTAAACCCTAAAGCCCCCTAAGCCCCAAGACCTGCACCCTAAAAAACCCTAAACCCTGAACCCTGAAAACCCCTAAACCCTAAACCCTAAAAACCCCTTGTTTAAAAGCAAACCTCGCTGCTCGAGCGCACGTGATAAATCTGTTACCATCGACGCCTATCATAAGGGGGAGGGGGGGGGGGTACTTAGTAGACCCATCTTCAAAACATGTGTCTTGGGGGAGATCTCTAAACCTAAACCCTAAACGCACACCCTTAAACCTATCAGGTTTGCTTAGGTTAGGTTCCGTTAGTTGGGTTAGGTTAGGCTAGGCTAGGTTAGGCTAGGTTTAGGTGAGGTGTCCGTGCATGCTGATTCAAACCTCGCCGTCTTCTGATTCGTTCCTACCTGTTTTCTGAACCATGGGTGCATGATTCATGGTCTTGTTTTCCGATTTCGGTAGCATCCCTCAAGTACTACTGCTTGAACGTACAGGAAGGTCCTGAAGTGCCCACCCGAGAAGAAATCTTCCACGGCTTGGCGCTTGATAGACTTGAACATGAACTGCGGCTCAATGCCTCTGTAGAAACATTCTGCCGCGATCTGCTATGCACCTCTAACACGTGCGAACTTCTGGACAAGGTGCGAATCTTGAACTCTTCTCTGTTCTCTCCGCGGCTCAACGACTTGTCAAAGCAGCACCTGTTACGTGCTGATGTGCACCCGGCACAGTTGCTAGGCATTGAAACTGAGCTGTGATCATTAAACTCACGGATCAGCTGAGACATGCCGAGACACCACGCGCGACCAGGACTGATCACAGCAAACTCTGTCTCAAACGGAATGTCCACACCTTGCATTCTGCGGCCCACATGCAGCTCTCGACTGCCTTCCACTACACAAAATTGCTGAGCTTGCCAGAATACAAGTACAGTGTTCAAATCTGGCAGCCTTGCTAAGGTGTGTACTGTATGGCAGGTTCTTTGTTGGAATAACGAAATTCGCCTGCCAGCGCTCACAAGGGCTCGGTCAACGCATGCAATGAACCTCTGTGGCTCTTATTTGCTTACTGCAAAGTTGCCTCATTCGTTGGGTCCATGGACGCCTCTGCACTCTCCTGCTTCGCAATGTGAGGCCACACACATCTACAAGGCTCCAGGAGCTTCAGACACCTTGCTGATCAAGATGTCGACGGTCATAGCCTTCTTCTTGACGCACGTCAGCTTCACGTGCCTGAGAGACGACAGCATAACTCGGCAGTTGCTTCCGAGCCCCAGGCGCCTAGCTGCCTAGCTCACCCCTTTCAAGGCAAAGTTGCTTGGCTCCCGGAACAAGTACCGGAAGGGGGCCCGGAGCACTGGATCCGTCGGGCCGCTGCTCACTGGGGCAATCCTGATTGTCGTGCTTCATGCAACAAGAAGCTTCGGACATTAAACAAAAAACACACACTCAGCAGGCCTTTACTTGCAGCTTTCCTTTGCAAACTTGGGGGGGGTCCTTGGGGAATTGCCTCTCCATGTCGGTAAGCAGCGCCGCCGAGAAGAAGATCAGGATGCAACGCCCCACCCAGGTCTTGATTGCCTTGAGACGCATGACATGGAAGTCAGAGTCCGTCTGATTGTTCGTTTCTTATTTGTTTCTTTCTCTCTACGAGGGCTTTGTGGGGGGCTAGAGGATTGGACGATCTCTCACCTCGGGCTATGTGCACGCCCCAGAATGATGTCTTCCAGCGAAATGGAGGACAATTTTTTTGGTTGGGCCGAGTCCCCTACCCAGCGCACACCCCCATCCGAGCATTCAAGTCTGCGCGATATACAGGAAGGGAATCTGGTATCGGCGTTGCTGCTTCGGACCTTCGAGCCTGCACATGCCCACCTGCAACGCACCTCACGCCGCCCTTTCCCCACAAGAGTGGGGATGGCGAAGCGAATCCTTATGTATCTCTCCATCCATCCACCGACCCATCCATTCTTTCCTTTCTCTCCAGATATATGCACGCATACTTACAGTTCTCCATATTTCATTGCTTTATTCATCTTCTTTTGATGCCCAGGCTCCCTGAAACTGCGAATTCTGGCAGGGCTGTATGCTCTTCACGTTTCACATGTGCACTGCAAAGATGTGCGGGCTCTGCAGCACAACAGTCAACATTGGCCAAGCAGAGCCTAGCAAAGCCAAGCAGCATCGTTGGTGCGCTTGTTGTGACCTGGCCTTAGCATCGCGATTTCGTCGGCGAAAGCGCAGCGCATGGTCTCAGACAAGCTGCATGAATCGCTCGTCAACCTCCTCGAATCCGCTGCGCTCTTTTGGTTGCAGCAGTTCCTGGGCTGCAACCCTTTCAACTTTGCTGTGCGAGGGAGTAGGGCAAGATCATCCAAGTAGCTGAGAGCGTCCCAGACAGCAGCTTAATCTGCCTCATACGTCCAGACGCGGGTAATCACGTTAGTCAGCAGAGTGCTGATTTCTCCACGCTTCTGGCTAAGGCATTGAATACTGCAAAGGACGATGCAAAACGAATACTCATTGAAAACACAGTTCTTGGCAAGGGCTGCGCTGTCAACACTTGACGGAAATTGCATCGTTCTGTCTTTCGGCTGCAGTTGCTGATCATTGTCATTGTCAGTGCAGTGAGGCAGGCAAGACAAGCTTAGCTACTGTGAAGGCAACAACATCTGAGCTTTGACGCACGTTCGGTGCTTCTTTCGTTGAGCGACATGTGTTGGGAGCTGGGGCTGAGTTGGAAACGGCCCCTAAACCCTAATTAAACTCTGACCCTTTAACCTTCTATGGCCGACTCCGGGTTCCTCGTGCTCCCTACCCTGACAGTCGTGCTACCGCTGCAAGACTGCTCGCCTTGCAAGGGCTTGCAACTGAGCTAGGTGCTCTTTCTCTGGAAGCAGCGTCAACAAGGACAGCAGCCTCGGATGCTTGGTTGTCAAGAGATTTTTTTTGCACAAGCCACTAGTCACTACAGTAGCCTGCCTGGGACAAACCGCTTTGTTGCCGCAGAACTCACCGACCCCTATGGTGCATGCTCATTGTCGTGGCAGTTGAGCCTCATAGTTTCGTCGCGGGAGCTTTGCAGAGCCATTTGTCAGACCCTTGTGGCGCCAAGGCCCCACAAGCCCAACACTATTGACTCGCACCCGCTATGATTCCGAGTCGGGTTTAGACCCCGGTTTAGACCCTTGCTTCCTGTCGCGTGTACACGGTTAAAACAAGGCTGACAAAGTTTAAGGGCAGAGGGCTTAGAGAGCATAGGCGTAGGCTTCGAGGTCAAAGGGGTTGGCGACGGCAGCGGAGGCTTCTGAGGCTAGAGGGCGGGATTTGGGCTCTTGAAGTTTAGGAAGGATGGGGGGCTTCATCCCAGGAAGGCAAGCAAGCTCTAGGATTACTCCCCAGGACTCCCCAGAAACCTGAGTGTGTTTAGGAGGGGTACGGGGAAAGTCTACAGATTACGTAAACGCACAAGTATTGACAGATGCTAACTGTTGCAAACGCCAAGAGTTGCTAGCCGATGCACGAATCAGGCACTTCAGCAAGGGCCGAAGACATCTCTTTGGCGACATCGGAGTCTGAAAGCACAGTGCCCGCTGCAATGTGCGACACGAGTGGAGCAAGGACGACCTTCAGGGGGTCCGTGAGCAGTTCGAGTCGCTTTCGTGTTTGCCTATGCCTGTGCTGGAAGATGATAGCATTCTACGTCTTGTGTTGCTTGAAGACAGGACCTTGGGGGAACACACGCTTCGAACCATGCGCAGATCTTCGCCGCCAGACAGCGACACCCTTGATTTCGTCGTTTCTGCAAGCTCTTTGAGCGTCTGTGATACCCAAGACTGCCCAGCCAGTCCACAATCCGTTAAGAGATGAACCATCACGGCCCAAAATTCTTCTGCAAGCTTCGGGGACACCGTCAGCTCCTGCATGACCGAGCGTGTGAGCACAATGCCCAGGACAAAGTCTCGGACATCGCAGGGCCAATCCATCGCTCTAACGATGAATCTTGGACTAACTTGAACCATGGCATCTTTGAGTATCTCAGAGCGGTTCTTGATGACTTTGCGAGCCTGTCGAATGAGGCTCTCCTCGCTTCCCTCATCCTCCTCATCATGGGTGCCAGTGCTACCCTCCGCCAGAGGAGCAAAGAGCGTCAGCAAATCAGCGACGACATCATCACTGTTGTGCCCTAGTAGTTTTAGCAGCGGAACAAGTAGCCAGTAGTTTTCTGAGAGCTGCCCATCTCCTGAGTCACCTGTTCCGCAGATCAGCGTCATGAGCTTCTCACTCTGTTGCCAAAACAGAATCAGCAGCACCCGCACTGCTGCATCCTGGACATCCGGATGGCCGTACATCAGAAACCAATGGAGTTCTCGCCAGAAGGCAAATTTTCCAGCATTTTGCTCCTGGTACACCACAGCGCCATCTGCCCACTGGTTCTCGTTGATCAGTTTCAGGCATTCCTCGGCATCTCGAGCAAGGATCGCCTCCGTGAGATTGAAGAGAGCAACTTGAAAGACTCGAGGGAGCTGCTTGTGCAACACTGACATCAAGCATGTCACGGCGCATGCCTTCTTGTGTTCTTCACCAAAAGCTGGGCGCTCCAACTCGTCGTCCGCAGGACGTGGCAGCTCAATGCGATGACGGTATACATTCTCCAGAAACTGCAGAAAACCTTCCTTGGGCGTCATGGCAGGATGGACGACCTGGCTGCAAATCTGCAACACGCAGAGTCTTGTTTCCAGTGGCGTGCTGGCCGCTGTGCCGGCCTGATAAAGTATGGGCGCAAGGTGTTTCTCTGGGTACAACACCCCTTGCAACAGCTCAGTGCACACAAGCCGGCCGACCCAGAGTTCCCTACAGCAGGTCATCAAAATCGAGGCCAAGTGAGGAATGCAGGACGTTGCTCTCATGTCGCTGCGTTGCGAAGCCAGAAGTAAGCACACGTTCGCGTACGTGTCGGGTGGCAAGTCGTCCTTTTTCAGCACGGCGCTTGCGAACTCGATGATGCGGCCCTCATAGGACACGTGTTCTTCGGGTAGGCGCAGCGGCGGGTCAAAGACGGGTAGAACTCGGGCTTCAACATCCGCCAGCAACTTCTCTTGGGATCCGACCACGTGCACGTAAACGTGGTCGCTGCTTGACAAGGAGCCGCTGCGCAGCTTCGGTGACAAAATGGTTCTTTCATCACGGAGGCTCGCATCCTCCATGACATTGAGAAGTACTTTGCTGCTTGGGCCCCGCATCCTGGACCTGAACGGGAACTGCTTGGACACGCTGGCTTGGAGACGGGATGCCCCAGGAAACTCGAATTTCAACCAAACTTCCCAGGGCATGCCTTCAGCCAGCTCGGTTTCGAGCATCTTCTGTGCATGGAGATCACAACCGCGGAAGAAGCCGACGTAATGCGTTCCAGCAGCAACGTTCACCATTTGGGTGAGCAATCGTAAGTCTGTCGGGCGCAAGGGAAGGCCGTGGATGATCTCATCCATGATGTGATGAAGCTGCAGGAAGAACTGGCGCTGAAGTTTCTGACAGTGTATTAGCAGATTCTCTTGGTCCTGAATTTCGTTCTGAAGCTTGGCCAGATCTGCTTTTAGCCTGTCCACTTGTTGCTTTTGCACTGTCAGGGTCGCTTCATCATGACCCTGCATTTGCTCAGTTGTGCGTATCAGTTCAGTCTGGGTGGTGATCTCCGTCTGCAAGTGCTGCTTTTGGGCTTGCCCTTTGGTTCGGGTTGATATACAGTTGTGCATGATGTCCCAAAGCGCAGTCAGCCCGTGTGACAGCAGCAGATTCTGCAAGTCTTCCTTGTAGATCAGGCCGTCATCACTCAGGGCTTTCTTGAAAAGTGCATCTAAAACCAAGGATGTTGTAGGGGCATCCTGCTTGGCGTGTAGCAGGAGGGCGCACATCTTGGAGGTAAGAGTGCGAAAGGACTTCTGCACATAACCAGAGAGGTCCAGGCGCACTCCACACATCGGAATGAGTCGAACCACCAGCATTGCGGAAGAGTCCTCTGCCATGACCATCCGTCCTCGAGGTGACTGGAGCAGCTGGCTAAGGAAGACTGATACTGCGACCAAAACTGAATGGTCTGGCGGCTTTGGCCGGGACCGGTCATGAGGTCCAAAGTCAGGCGGGAATCCGAGTTGAATATCATGCACCTCCGTCTTCTCAAAGTTGTCTGCAACAAGCGCCGCCAAGAAGATGGCCCTTTGCAGTGGAGTCTTTAGAAGACCCACATAGCGCGGATGGGACTGGGGTAGAAGCTGGGAGCAGACTCCACTGTTCGCGATCATCCACATCGTGGTGGTGGGGTCAATGAGATCCAGCTCTCCAACACGCCGCTTCTCCCTGCGGGTCTCGGGGTCATCATGGAATTGCAGCCTGATGTACTGCAACAGGGCCGAGGCCACTTCCGTCACATTGTACACGGAATCTGGAACTCCCTCCGTCGTGTCCTTCCGTTCCTTCCGTCGCGTCAGGATCTGCTTGGCTTCCTTTTGAGCTGCCTTGATTGAGCTCTCCACTTCATGTGGAGCTGCTGGGTGCTGGCTGGCTCTCAGCAGGGTGAGCACGCCATCGAAAACGGGTTGGCCAGGCTTGGGCAACAGTTGCTGAACCTTCCCGCTAAATATAACTCCATCCTGCACAATCTTGGGATCATCGCTGAGTTTCCTGGATATGGGAAGCTGCGCCTGCTCGTTGAGATACGCTTGGATGGACGAGCCATTCACCACGATGGTCACCACAATCTGCCCTTGCGGGAGATCCTCCAAGCTGTTCTGGCACACAAACGTCTCGTGTTTCCCAGAAACTGTGCAGATCTGAATCCAGAGTCTGAAGTCCTGCAAGTTCACGTAGATACTTGGTAAGTTGGTGCTCGCGCCCAGAACAATCGGCTGAAAGTCAGGTACTTTCGAGTGCACGCATTGGCCAGAACGCATGACGAGAACGAAAGAAAGGGTATAGGTCTTGCGCGATTCCTGTCCGGCAAAATACCCAGCAACGGTCTCTCTGTCCAAGGTTGCGATGGGTCTGCGCTCCAGCTTGCAATCGATTGCACGCATGACCAGATCAGCGACGTGCTGTGGTTGCATTAGGCAAGAAAGGGCAAACAAGGCTGAACGCTGCATCATCAGAATGGGATGGACCGACCTGGGATCGTGATCCGGCCTTTGCCGCAGCGCAACGACTTCTTTCCAGGCGGCCTTGCTGTCATCCATCAGCATGCGCGACAACGAAATCAGTATGGAGCCCTCCTTGTATCTGAGCAGGTCTGCACAAAGATGCTCATCGTCGGAGCAACAATGCCCCATAAGTTGGACTAGCCATGCCTTCTCTTCCTCAAAATCAACGGTGTTGTCTAGTCCAACATAGTACTCAAGCATGTCAATGAAGTACTTCATTGACGGTACCACTTTGGATATGTCCTGCAATCACCCAGTCTGCGGAGGAGCGTGAGCAGAGCTAACAAGTGCCCAAACCTGGAAAAAGAAGCGCTTGGTAAGCCCATCCGTGGTCCTGAGTCCTCAAGACTAGGCGATCGACATGCTTCAGTATGGATGTGATCCTCGGCGGCTGTCTGGCTCAACATGTCTCACCCCCTGTACTCCCCATGCGCTTGCACAGAGTTCTCACAAACCAGTGCTGCGAAGTTTCGCGTCTTGGCTTTGTGCCCGATAGTGTGGCTCCCCGAGCACCAATAAGAGCTGCAAAACAGCTGTGATCACCCTGCGCAGAATTGGGGAGGGAACGGCGTGGTGCTTCGCTTCGCATGCTTCCGAACTCATTGAGAGGCAGTCCTGGCCCGAACATCCAAGTGAGAGTCACGTTGCCCTCGCAGGCGCTTCATGAAGGGTGACCTTGGCCGGAAAAGCAAACGCGAAGCTGGCGCCCATTTTTGTTGCTATGCAATGCTGAGTGTGTGGGCTACATCGACTGGTGGGAACCAGTTTACAGCTCCTTTCGGTGAACGTACGTGATTGCCGTGCCGTTCGTGTTCGATTGTGGATGATTGTTGCCTCTACGTGTCTGTGTGCTGCATGTGCGATTCTCCGGCCACTGGGGCAAGCCGATGGATCAATAGAGTGCAAGTGAAACCAATGGACACAAACAGGGTAAGGCACGAAAAAGGCTTCCTGGCCTATGCTTCAATAGCATGGGGCCTCCATAAAGCAACTACATTGCAGCCCCAGTACATCAGGTCGATCAGCTGGAAGCATGTCCTCAAGCAGCTAGGTGCACACGTAGCATGCGACACACGGGCTCAGCAGCAGCACATGTCGAGACTGTCCTCCTCAGACGTGGCCAGCACAGGTCGACATCATGGTCCAAGGCGCTGGCCGACTCTTGCAGCAAGGAAATACCTTGGAGAACTGCGAGCCGGACTGGCTCCGACTGGCTCTGCCCAGCCGAGGTCGACAGCACTGTTACATGCCAGTCGATTTTTGTTTATATGCGGTCCTGTTTGGCTTGCCTCTCCATGCTCTCCATGTCCAGTGCCACTGGGATGCTCTCTAAGGAGAAGAGCCTGGATTCGACACGCAAAGCACACGCCGAGGGGCTTGGAAAGGGCATGTCCAGAGAGCACGCGCTCAGCATATGTTCAGCCTGGTCGCTTCTTGCAGCGAGGGGCCTCGATGTAAACCGAGAGCTGCGCTATGGTAGTGCGGGTCGGGTGGCAAAAGTCCGTGAGCGTCAGCGCTAAAGGCAAAACCTTAGTCCACTGGTTCACAACGGGCCATTTCAACCACCACACACAGGAGCTGATTCCAAAAACTCTCATTGAATGAAACGGATGGAGGCTGATGTTGAAATGACCCTCGCATGCTGAAGTTGCCATGGGTGCGGAGACAAGCAGGATCAGAGTTCTTCATGGGTCTCAGTAGAACACCTAAACCCCCCCAAACCCGGCAGCAGAGTCATGCCAGATCAGCATTGTCAGAAATTCCATGGCGGGTCACAAAGACCTTGTCGGCATAGGCGCCAACTTTGCAGATCTGCATGTAGCTAATGCCGTCCTTTTTACCACGCTCAAGAGTGGCATTAAAAACGCCTCAGAAAGCATAAGAATTTCCGGTCCTGAGAGAGGTTCAATACGCAGCGAATCCGCTCACCCTCCAAGAAGGAGAAGTTCATCTGGCGACATGCTGCCAACTACTACAAGTCTGCCTTCGCTTGTAGCCTACACCTGCAAGCAGAGGGCGCCTGATGGCATTGCGGCGGATGTTCAGTGCCTTCCCGCATGAACCCGATGTTCAGCTTCAAGCAACGTGCAGCAAAAAAACGGTGTGGCAAAGACTGAAGCCAAGCCCAGGGCCCCAATCCAGAAAGACCTTGCGGAACATGTCGATGCCTCGAGTACATGAAGGTCAAGGATGGTCTTCCACAAGCCCCCACCTGAATCCCAAAAAAACATCCGCAGCCTCTGCTAGTTCAGTAAAGACCGTGAGAGCACACGATGTACTGGGCCCTGGCCTGCATTGTCCTGCTCCGGCGAGAAATAGACACGAAGGGAGTTGAAGATGAAGCCAAATCTCTTTTGGTCGTTCTCCTGAGACAGAGATGCAGAGAGCATTCGTGACTGGAAGGTGCATCAGAATGATTGTGGGGCATTTCCACTGCGCTGCACTTGGGTGCCACCCCATGTCCGTTGCTGGTGTTCCACTTGGACTTAGACATAATACTTAGACTGGCTATGACATGGTTGTGAAGAATGTTCAGGTGAGCAAGATGTGGCGAGCTTTCTCAGGAAGAGTCGCGTGCCTCGCTGCCGAAGTCATCCACGGTGAAGTACATTGTGAAGGTCAGCTCCTGGGCTTCCCCCCCTCCCCCCATGCCAAAATCTGCTTTGCCAAGCAACATGTGTTGTGAACGTTTTGCCGCAGTTCGGAGTCCGGCTGGGCAACAATGAATGCTGCTGCCGTTCTGGATGAGTTTTAACGGAGGCGTTCCGGATACGGCTACGGACGGATCAGCAACGGCAGGTCACCCACCCAGCTCGAACAACGGGATGGACTGGTGTTCCCAGGTTCAGGCACGGAGCGGGTCCGTGGTCCGTGTTCGCCCCTGCTGTGTTGTTGCCACTGCACCGGTCCGAACGATGCGGTTCATTACATGGCAACGCGAACTGTTCCAACTCAGAAGCCAAGAACAACCCAAACAAGTACTCAGCAGAAGAAGTTGCAAAGCCACTAGTCACTTAGCACGAGGTTAACGGTTAGCCGATACGGGATGTTGCACAGTGGGCTGTGCAGCTTAGAATCTCTGGCCGCCCCGAAAGGCAGCTCCGGAAATGTCACTGAGGCAAAATCATGGGATGTCACCTGGCACTTCAGAGACCCATGGCCCATAGATGTCTCAGTCTCGGTCAGAAAGACAAACTGCTCCTGTAGCTGCTACCGTGGTGTCTCGGACTCCTTCATCAACGACATGCCACCACCGAACTGCAATCTCAGGAAAGAGCCTGCAGGCGCTCGTTGTACACCTTCCAGGCATTCAGGATTCACTTCAAAACCCTCTGTGCGGCCTTGATCCTCTTGGCATGCCTTGACAGTGTCGTGCGGATCCAGTGTGAGCTTCATAAATGAGTACCTGGTCAAAAGGTGGCAGGCAGTTCCTCCTACAGTCCTGCAGACAGTCCAAGTGCAGTCAACAAACCGGTGCCCAACTTGAATTGCTGTCCAAGCAGCTCATTTGCAAACTCCAGCACGGAGGAGACCTGCGAGATGCTGGCATGATGGTAAATCAGAGCACGTCCGTCATACCAAGCAAAATACACAGAAAATTGCAAGTCTCAGGTGGGAACCATGGGCCCTTAGTACGGTCCCTTACCCTTGTCTATAGGGATCCGAAGTAGGGCCCTTACTATACATTGTGTACGCAAGGGTGCTGTAACAAGGGACCCGAAATTAAGGGCCCATACTTGGAACCCTAAAGCAAGACAACACCATGACACCACTAAGCTTGCACCCGCGCCTCAACATCCAACGGCAGCACATCCAGCCTCTGCTTGACATGCACTTGTAAAGGTCATACTCGTACTTGCATGTAGTTGAGTAGGGCTCAGATGTGGGCAGAACCTTGTGCTCGTGTAACAGCGCAACTAACCGAGAGGAGAAAAGGGATTAAAGGGATTAAAGGGATTAAAGGGATTAAAGGGATTAAAGGGATTAAAGGGATTAAAGCTCTCCAGAAGCGGCTCCTGGCATCTGTGAGGATGGCATCGAGAAGCACCGGGTGATCCTGCGTGAAGTACTTGATCACCTCGCGAAGAAGACGAGCGCGCACAACGTGACTCTCAACTGTGTTCCCGTGTTGGGTTAATACAAGGAGACGTCAACTATCTATAAATTCACAAGGTTTCTGCAGGAGGGCTTGATTAATGATTAGCTCGGAGATGTGCTATCACATGTACCTCAGCAGTCAGCCCCCCCTTCCCGCCCCCCCCCCCCCCCCCCCCCGGCAAACTCATCCTAAACCTCTCTCCATCCGAGCTTCACCTTTCCGCATAGCGAAACCTGATCCACAACTTTAGGCAGTGTCAAGTTACCTAGCTACATGCAATCTTCCCTTGGTAGTGATTTCGGATCATGGGATGGATCCGGCAACCCTCAACCCGCAACCTGGAGAATGAGTAGACTAGCCCGGGCTCAGCCGGGAATATGAGATGTTTCAAGTGTCCACATGTCAGAGTACCCAGCCCCTCATTGTAGTTCGTTTGTTGCCAGGTACGTTGTGGTGGTTTTTTGAAGCCGAAAATTAAGCAACGCCGCCAAGAACTTCGACAGGAAAGGCGGTGGGCTGCCTGTTTGGGCTCGCAGCTTTGGAGGATGTCGTGCATGACCTCCAGGCTCCTTGGGACATCGAGGGGTGGATTCTTTTGCTACGGCGCATCAACAACAGCGGTAGCAAGGGTGCTGCTACTGATAGGCCTTTCACGAAGAGAAGAGTGGCCTTCACGATCACAATAGCATGTCTGCTGATTTGATGTCTATCCGCCCAGGCCAGATGACTGAGGAGTTTAGCTCCAGGTCTAGGGAAGCGTCGCTCCCTACCCAGAGCGCCGTGACTGGATTTTTGGGCGGAATGGGTACCCCGCCTAGCCGACCAGTGTCCAGCCGCGGACCACACCAGGGAAAACGTTTGGCCAGCCGTGGTGGGCGCATGTGAAAATTGCGCCCTGCCCCTCCAAATGCCGCGGCTGTGGTTTACGGTGTCTGGGGCCCCCAAAGACTTCCACATTTTGTCATCTCAAGTATGTGGTAAGGCCCTCGGCTCCTGCTCACGCCCCCCAAAAGTTTCCTGATCCTTATGTTGACTTGATGATCGTACTTGAGGGAAGTACCTGCAAGAACTCCCATGTTCAGGCCCAAGCAGGAGGATCCTAAACACTCCTTGCTGGCATGTGGCTCGCATCGCTCTTTGTCTGTAAGGCCATCTACATTCTCCACTTTCGTCAAGGCCTGCAGGCTTCTGAAGTCATGGCTGGCAAGACATCAAGAGCGTGCAAGTATCAAGAATGCCTCGCTCGCTTACCCGCCAGTTGCGACAGCACAAGCGACGCAAATTCAACAGCGTCTTCGTTTGCAAGCCTCCAGAATGGTCTTGTCCATGGGAACTGTGCGCCTTCGCGACATGACCTCAGATTTAGACTTGCTGCTGGCACACAGGTACAAAAGGCAAGGGTGTACAACCATAGCACTGACGCTCTGAGACTATGGCTGGCGATAGCCACTTTGGGCATCGATGAAACGATGGAACTGGTCTGCGCTAGGGCCCATGCCCATCCCTCATGAAAAAGCTGCGGGAATGGATGCAGTCTTCAACTTGCCAGCTCTCTTTCCATGACATCTCGTCAAAGGCCACCGCAGTGTCAACAAGGCCGCCTAGCTACTATCGCTCGGCGCATCTGAAGCGCAACATAGCCCGCTGTGCTTAAGGATACCACGCAAGGAAGCTTTCAACGTTGTGCTGCTTTTATCCACTTCCACCAGTATGTGGATGTCAGCGTCACTTTGCATGATTGCTCTGCAGCCTGCAGCCGACTCTCAAATCGACCGAGAATCTACAGTCTGGATGCTCTGCTGATCTCAGCTGCGTCCACTCGGCGCGCTGTCCAGAAAAGACCACCTCCCAGAGAGCGTCGCAGTCATGCGCGTGATATTCAATGTGAATTCATCATGGTTCATGTGCAGCTTCTGCTACCAAGCAGCTCTCCCATGCCCTCCTGCCGCACATGAGGCCACAGCTCCTGCTGTAGACTCTGCATCGCCATGGACTTCTAGACATGTATGTATACATATATACATATGCTCAGATAGGCATATTTATAAGTATGGGCATGCTCAGTTTTGCGAAAGAAAGATGAGTGCTACGCCCCCCTTAGCTTGTTTCCAGGAAGTCGGGTCTCTGGCTTGATCCGCGCATGGTTGTCCACAGTTCGCTGTACACAACTGTACACCGGAGAATCTGTGTGTGCAAGTGACCGCGGTTGGTGACGTGCTATGCACGTTCGCTTCGGGATCACGCACCACACCACATGAAAGAGTCTACGTGTGACAAATTGTGGCAACTTACCTCATGCTTGATCAGTCTTCCCCTTTTGATCCTTTTGTGTTTATGAAAGTAGTAAGTAGCAATCATGCTTTGTGTTGAAGGGTTCTACGCCGCTGCCAGCTGACACGCAGCTCGTCGCAGGGCAACCTGACGACAAGAGGCAGCAAGCAAGTGGAAGCCTGTCCGCAGTCTAACTAAACATGTAAAGAGCCCGGGTTCTCGTTCCCTCGACGCAAGGCACCTGAGCATCGGAGTTCTGGGAGTCAAACTCCAGAGCGCGTCCGGCGGTCGCTGTGGAACGCTCAAGGAAAGCCTACGTGAAGCATTCCACTCCCTTTCCACCCCGCTCCAAAGAGGTTTTAACAGTACCCGGGCATCCTTGTGATGCGAAAGCACATGCGACTCGTACAGGCAACCATAAATAAGCCTCACCTTACCAGTGGCAAGTTTTCTCCGCGAAGTTCGGCGCTGCAAGCCGGGGTAAGGCCAGCCTTGTGCCTTACGTGAAACATTTGACATTCCAAGGGATTCCGACAAGAAGATCCACATGGTGAGGCACTGCAGGTTGTACCAGCACATGCAACACGCATGGCCTCAACTGCAAAGCTCTCCGAGTTACTTTACTTTTCGGGACATCGACGCATAGTTGGCCGTCCATTTTGGGTCGTCAGGAGCGCGTCTACCTGCGTCGTCAAGGACGCGTCTGCCTGCGTCGTCGCCGCTGTGTTTCTTTGTGTTGTTGTCGATGTTGAGAGAACTTGTCATATAGTGGAGGATGGCCAATACCACGACGGCAACACTTGCTGTAGTTCCAACAGAGGCGAAGGGGGTAAAGATGAAGTTTAACTCTACGAACATCAGGGCGATGGCCATGCAGGAGCCTATCTGCTTCACAACTGAGTCCAGGAACTTAGCCACAAGGCCAGCCAGCCAAGCTTTGCACACCATCTGCAGCAGAACCACACAGGTGGATCTGTCCCAGCCCGTGAAGAGTGTTGCAAAGAACCCCAAGATGGCCGTGTCTCCATCCTGAAGAACTCCCTGCACATAAGCCCACAAAAAGGAAAAGAGGATACTCGAACAGTCCACGTGCACCTTCTGTATGTAAAAGTTGCATGACTCCTTCGGATCCAATGTCTCTTGCTTGAAAAAGACCTCCAAACACACAGACGCGAAGCACTCACAGCAGCACATGCCCAAGATGCAAAGGACGCCCTGCCATACGTCTGCCGACAAATGTGCACGGACGCCGAGCTCCGGGATGTGGCGATTTTGTTGCATACGCTTCGGCCAACTGTCCACTACCAAGATGGTTGACGCAGCCTGTAGCGCCAAACGCAGCAGCAGCAGCCTTCTCGAGAATCCTTTTTGCTGGCTGTCCCTTAAGGTGGAGAATGTGCAACCCGTGGCGACCACGAAAAGCAAAAGGGATCCAATCAGTGTGCTTTGCCCTTCCCTGGAGCTCATGTACAAAACAACACCAGCGCAGGTCATCACCAGGCTCACCCACTGCATGCGCGAGAAGACTTTGTTTGTAAAAAACTGCACCGTAAGCGCAAGGATGAACAAGTTCATCTGGGACAGTATGGAAACCGCATCTGGCGGAACTCGGGTCAGAGCCTTGAACTTCAGGTACCCAGCAAACTGAAAGAAGATGTTGACGCGAGCCACTTTCTTAATGGAATTCAAGTTTGCGCACTTTCTCAGACCCTCACGTCCTTCATAGCTCACGGCTGTTGCAACACCGATGACCAAGGACACCACCCCAGACATCAACATGACAGAAAACACAGAATAAGGGAAAGCTGTTCTGCTGGATCCCTTGGACCAGGCTTTGATGATGGAATCGTTAGCCGTGAGGATCACATATGCCCCAAAGGCAAGACGGCTTTCCATATTCCAACTGTACCGCACAGCTTTCCTCACAGGTTTTGGAGTTGGCCGGGTTCCGAGAACAACGCTGCTCCTCCTTGTCTCCTCCTTAGGACCCTTGTCAATTTCAAACGCCTCTACCTTGTCAGTTTCACCTTCTCCTTTTTCGGCGGCACTTTCTGGCCGGGACGTTGCAGCCGCTTCCCTGTCAATTTCATCGTCTCCTTCTTCTTCGGCAGCACTTTCCGGCCTAAGTAGAAATCTCAGGAGGACGCTGTCTGTGCCTTGTGCCTTGAAGGCCTATGTGCAGCCAGGACACCCTGCATATGACAGCCTCATCTTGAAGGATATCAGGCTGACTGCTCAAAACGACCGTTGACAGCTGACCACTGTACCGCGACTGCCACAGGCCTGTGTGATTTGTGTATGAGAGCACCCCACCCCAAATTCAACCCTTTCCTGTGACCTCACTCACCACATCGACATGCCGGACATCCGCCGAGGCCGGAGGCCGGAGGCGTCTAGATCCAGGTCTCGGAAATCTTCTACAGGTGTACCGACCCCCTATTTTTGGGGAGGCGCTGGGGCATGTGTGCGGCCGGGTTTGTTTTGGCCCGTTTTGGGTACCCCCCAAGCCGACCAGCGTCCAGCGGCGGACGACGTCCCGAAATCAGAGGGGGCTTTGTGCCAGCCACAGTGGGCGGATATGAAATTCCCTGGCATCCTGACCCCCCCCCAGCCCTTACACCCCCACACCCAACCCTGGACCCTGGGCACCCTATAAGCCCTGCCCATGAACCCTGCACTAGCCTCGCTACCCTTGCCGAGGCGGCCTCGCGTGTGCGGTTAAAAAGCCCTTTTGTGCGCACCATCAGCTCGAGCGGCGGAAGATTCGAATCGAAAGCCTCCTGGCTGTACCGCCGCTCCCGTTTGCTGGGCAGCCCTTCACTGACCGCTCGCTGAAACATGCCCAGCGACCTGCAGATGCAAACAAGGATTAGCCGCAGTCTTGCAGAACAGAGTCGAACACTTCAACTGAGCGACTCGGACCATCCAAAGGCGGCTTCAACATCTCGTCGATGCGCATTTGTGGTATCACTCATGGTACGGCGGCAGTCTGCATCAGACCTGCTAGCTGCAAATCCAGAGCGCGCATCTCTTCTATCTGGAATCATGAACAAGTTATGGTTTTGTCTTGGTCATTGGTCAAAACTGCTCGTTGGAGCTCATGCTCTGTTAAGGGATAATTTGCACTTGCACTTGCCAAGGGTCCCAGAAGAAGCTTCGGATCGTGTTGAACGGGCATACCGATAGTCTGTCAAAGCAAAAGACCTTGGCCACATGAAAAGAAGGACCCACAGAACGTGAACTAACTTGCCATGACTTGCCATGTGGGCGTCATGAACCACCAGATGGTAGGCTGGCCACTCCAAACACGATAAATTATCCCTGAGGTGTGACAATGCCTAAGCCAGATGCTGGAAACCGCGCCATTCGAGACCTTCCTACAGCATCAAAGGCTGGAAATGACTTCGAAGGCTGGAAAAGACTGTGTATCCTGGTATCCCATAGTATCCGAATCTAAACTGCAGCATTGCTGGGCGTAAAGATCTGTACTGGCCTTGGGATTGGTAGCGTTGAGGGTTCGGGCCCGAGTCATCTGAAAGTTGGGTGTGCAGGGGTAGGAGCTTGCCCCTCATGGCTAAGCATTACGAAGAGTACTAACAAGAATGACAAGGAGAGCCATTAGGCCCTCCTCGTGCAGCTTTGTGTGCGGTGCTGACGGAGGGAGTGCAGGCGTGGCTCATTCTTGTTCTGACATAACCGCTGGCTACAGAAGTCGCAAGCCTTTCTCACGGGCGATTTTAAGCACTTGGGGCGGCTTGATCTCGCTCAGCGTCCGAACCGAAAAGTTCCTGCCAGGCGGCCGATCGGATTGCAGCGCAGGTTGGCTCTCCCCGTCTGCCCTGCAACCACAAACCGTGACATCCTAGCAAGGCTACCACGGAAGCCTAGCAGAGCTCCGAAAGCTTGTGTCTCTGATCTGAGCCATGCGTTCAAGAAAAGCCAGTGTCTCCAACATATCCCATCAGGTCTCTCAACACAAGCCCGCAGGGACTAGGGTGGAGTGTTTTTCGGATTTGATCTCACTTCGTGCACTTCAGAAGATTGCACCGCCAAAAAGAAAAGCGGCTTTTCGCGGGGTTCTGTGCCCATTCAAACCACTTTCTGCCCACACCATGAGCATCGAATGGCAGAGCATCGAGATTTGCATGTCGACGATGATCCTCACCTGTGGTGCAAAAGGCACTTTTTTAATTTGTTTCTCTTGGCGGTCATCCAACAAGCCGAAACCGTCGTCCACGCTGGAAACACTTTGCGCCTTTCCAACAAGCCGCCCGATTTTTTGTGCCAATCGGAGGGCCCTCCCTCCTCCGCACCCCCCCCCCCCCCCCCCCCCAAAAAAAAAACTTTCCTCTCTGTCAGAGCCAAATCACTCCAATTTGGGTGCCCTGGCGCTGGGATCTGGGGGCCCGGGCTTCAACCTTCGCACTATAACATATTCGAGGCCCCGGCGGTTCCGGCAGCTCACGGAAGTCTGGCAGTTCTGCTACCGCCCTCAGAGAGACGGTGGCACTGCAGCCCCAATTACATATGGTTGCACTTTGTTCTGTGCTGATCGTTGCTCTTCTTGGTTGGTCTGAGCGGCTCTGTTCCAAACTCGAAGGCTTCTTGGGAAATAATGGAACCTTTCCGCTGCACGCGTCTTCCGCTGCTGCTGCGCCCCGAAAGTTCCGCCCGCTCATCGATGTCTCCATATGTCGCCGCTGCCCTCAGTGAAGGATAATGAGTCTACAGCTACAGGTGAATAGTTTTTAGTGATAAGATGGGCCAAATTTAGTTGGTTCTGCTAGTCACTGCTAGTGACTAGCACTGCGGTCGCCACCCTGCCTTGCTTACTACTTTGTATAAAGGGATGATCGTCCTCCCAAACATCCCCTCAAACGTGCACCTAAACATGCCCCCCCCCCCCTCCATCCCCCTCTCCCCCCCTTCATCCATCCCCCTCTCCCCCCCTCCATCCCCCTCTCCCCCCCTCCCCTCCCCCCCCTGCCCCCCCCTGTCTGTCTCTGTATTTCTTTATCTGCCAGCCTCTGTCTGTCTAACCCTCTCTCTCGGTCTCTCTCTGTGTCTCTCTCTCTACATGTCTGCATCTATCTCTATACCTTCTTTCTCTATCTGTGTTCTGAGTTTTCAATGCCGGTCTCTCTCTGTATGTGTCTCTGTCTGTCTGTCTGTCTGTCTGTCTGTCTGTCTGTCTGTCTGTCTGTCTGTCTGTCTGTCTGTCTGTCTGTCTGTCTGTCTGTCTAGTGGTCTGACATCAGCCCTTCAAGAGGTCAAAAGGGCATCGGGCTTGTTGGGTGGGGGCTCTTTTGGAACCGGGCTACGGGAATGCTTCAAGATTTCTGCTGCTGCTGATGAACCTATCCAGGCATCTTACTGCTTTTTAGGCGTGCCCCGATCGTTTCCTCGGTCAGACAGACCTTGAGTTGTGCACTTGCACAAGAGAAATCCCAATTTCAGCATGTGAAAAGTGCATTGGGCTTGTTGGATGCTCTTCTAGCCTAAAACAGGCACGGCAGGCCTAAAAAGCCCTTGCCTCCGTTAGATGCCTCGCTAGCTGATGACACAGGCCCAATGCACTTTTCAGGTGCCGAAATTGCATTTTGTCTTGTGGGAAAGGACTATTCAGGGTCTCTTTGGCTGAGGAAGAACGGATAAAGCCGCTAGGGCCTGGCGGCCTGGCTAGCTTTCTCATATCATCACAAGCAGCAGAAGTCATCAAGTATTTCTGCAGACCGGGCTAGAACTTCCAAGAAGCCCAATGCACTTTTCAGCTGCCGAAATTGCATTTTGTCTTGCGCAGAAGGACTATGAAGGGTTTATGTGGCTGAGAAAAACAAAGCCAAGCTTACGGCTTAAGAACCATGAGGGGCCTGCCTCTTTCTGGCTGCTGCAAGCACCGCAAGTCTTGAAGCTTGTCTGCAAGCGTGTAGGCAGCAAACCGTCAGCTGCAGGAACTGTTTCTGGGTCCCGAGGAAAAGACCGCGCTGCCTCTTCAGCATAGTGCTTTTTCCAGCTTGAAGCTGCGCGGGCCTTCCCGTGTGGCTTCATCTTTCTTTAAGGCTCTAGGGCAGGACTTGGAGGAGCCCGTCTGGCTACTGCTTGCCTTGGCTTTTTCGCCAGGAAGACAGGAGGAGCTTGTAGCTTCGGAGCCTCTCAGACTTCAGGGCTTTAGGCTTTAGAGGCTCCAGCTATTCTCCAGGCAGATCAGGACCTTGGCCAGGCCTTCTAGACTCCAAGGCTTTTCTTTCGGGATGCCACGCATTTTCTCCTAGTTCTCAAGTTGCAAGGCCCCATGCGTTTTCGCCTTCTTCGGAATTTGCAGGACCCGCGCGTTTTCTCCTGCTTTTGAATTGGCCCGGGCCCCCACGCGTTTTCTCCTGTTTTTGAAGCTGCTGGACCCGACGCGTTTTCGCCTGCTACAAAAACGGCACAAAAACCGGAGAAATGGGCCCGGACCCCACGGTCAAACGGCAAAATGGGTCTGAATCCCACGCGTTTTCGCCTGTAAAACGGCCGAAATGACTCTTGTTCCCACGTGCTATAAACGGCAAAATGGGTCCGGGTCCCACGTCAGACAATCCTACGGACCCCACGTCTTTTGCCCTCCCCAAAACAAATCCTGGAGTCTAAGAGGCCCGCCTGAGATCCTTACCTGCTCCTAGCGCGGGCGGATTTCGAGTCTTGCAGCAGGGCAGAAGGCAGAGGGCCGCCTATGGTCCTTTGCTACTCACAGCATCTGAGGTCTTCGAGTCTTGCAGCAGGGCAGAAGCAGCAAACTGGGTGCTCGAGCAACAGCAAGTTTCAATGAAACAGGACTGCTGCAGTCCTTCAGCGGTGCTGTTTCTGCAGTCCTTCACCAGTCCTTGGGTCTCTCTCCTGCTGGCACAGAGACTCCGAAGGACTGCTACCTGCTACTTGCCAGAGACGTTTTTCTAGGCTTGCAGCTCCTGCTGCACGCAGAAAAGCTGGACCCTTTAAAGCCTGAAGGCATATTAAGTCTGAGAAGATCTGAAGCTACAAGCTCTTCCTGTAGTCCTGGCCAAAAAGAGGCAGTAGCCAGACTGGCTTGCTCCTCCCAGCCCTGCCGTATAACCTTAGAGAAAGATGAAACCACACTAGCCTTCCCACCCAGCTTCAAGCTTCAGACAAGCACTGCACTCAAGCTGCTGCAAGGCTGCACCCCATAAGACCAAGGAGCCCATGTACCCTGACCTTATACCCTAGCCTCAAGCCTACACTTACACCCACTAGCGGCGAGGGCTTAACGGCGCACGCTCAGCCGATCCTTACTTAGGGGGCCCCGGGCTTAGGCCCTAAGGTTTAAGGCTTCGGGTTTAGGGTTTAGGGCCTCGGGTTTAGGGTTTTAGGTTTAGGGCCTTTATGGCTTGACGGCGCACGCTCAGCCGATCCTTAAGGGGTTTAGGATTGAGGATTTAGGGCAGGGCTTAACAGCGCACGCTCAGCCGATCCCTACCTGGACCTATGATTTAGGGCTTCAGGTTTAGGGTTAAGGGGGTTTAAGGGGCTTAGGTGGTTTAGGGGGTTTAGGCCTCTGGGAATTTAGGGCCTTTAGGGCCTGTAGGGCTTAACGAGTTTAGGGGGTTTAGCCGAGTTTAGGGTTTAGGGCTTCGGGCTTAGGGCTTTTGAAAGGGCAGAGGCCCCAGACCAAAGAAAACTGAACCGTAAAGCTCAAACCCAAAACCAAACCCTAAACCCTAGGTCCTAGGCCTAAGGCCTTAAGGCCTAAACTAACCCCTAAGCCCTAAGCATTATATGCTTTGCGGCCAAGAAGCTGCTTGATCTCTCTCGCTCTCTCTGCCCACCTCTCTCCTTGCTTCCTCTCGACTCTATCTGTCCTCTCTCCACTCTTTTTTCAGGTCCTCTTGTCCGCTCTGTATGTCTCTCGCCCTTTCCCTTGATCTCTCTGTATCCATCCATCTCTCTCTCTCTCTCTCTCTCTCTCTGCACGCTTAGCCCCCCCCTAAGGGAGAGCTGCCCCGGAGGGCGCGCCATCTCTCTCTCTCTCTCTTCTCTTCTTCTCTCTCTCTCTCTCTCTCTCTCTCTCTCTCTCTCTATCTGTATCTATCTCTCTCTCTCTGTCCTCAGTTGGGAGGGGGGGGGCCTGTTAGACGGCATGTCTGTGGGGATGATCATCCCCCCCCTGTGGGATACCCCAAGGCAGGCGGTGACCACCTATCAGCGCAGGTTGGCTCTCCCCGTCTGCCCTGCAACCACAAACCGTGACATCCTAGCAAGGCTACCACGGAAGCCTAGCAGAGCTCCGAAAGCTTGTGTCTCTGATCTGAGCCATGCGTTCAAGAAAAGCCAGTGTCTCCAACATATCCCATCAGGTCTCTCAACACAAGCCCGCAGGGACTAGGGTGGAGTGTTTTTCGGATTTGATCTCACTTCGTGCACTTCAGAAGATTGCACCGCCAAAAAGAAAAGCGGCTTTTCGCGGGGTTCTGTGCCCATTCAAACCACTTTCTGCCCACACCATGAGCATCGAATGGCAGAGCATCGAGATTTGCATGTCGACGATGATCCTCACCTGTGGTGCAAAAGGCACTTTTTTAATTTGTTTCTCCTGGCGGTCATCCAACAAGCCGAAACCGTCGTCCACGCTGGAAACACTTTGCGCCTTTCCAACAAGCCGCCCGATTTTTTGTGCCAATCGGAGGGCCCTCCCTCCTCCGCCCCCCCCCCCCCCCCCCCCCCCCCCCCCCCGCCTCAAAAAAAAAACTTTCCTCTCTGTCAGAGCCAAATCACTCCAATTTGGGTGCCCTGGCGCTGGGATCTGGGGGCCCGGGCTTCAACCTTCGCACTATAACATATTCGAGGCCCCGGCGGTTCCGGCAGCTCACGGAAGTCTGGCAGTTCTGCTACCGCCCTCAGAGAGACGGTGGCACTGCAGCCCCAATTACATATGGTTGCACTTTGTTCTGTGCTGATCGTTGCTCTTCTTGGTTGGTCTGAGCGGCTCTGTTCCAAACTCGAAGGCTTCTTGGGAAATAATGGAACCTTTCCGCTGCACGCGTCTTCCGCTGCTGCTGCGCCCCGAAAGTTCCGCCCGCTCATCGATGTCTCCATATGTCGCCGCTGCCCTCAGTGAAGGATAATGAGTCTACAGCTACAGGTGAATAGTTTTTAGTGATAAGATGGGCCAAATTTAGTTGGTTCTGCTAGTCACTGCTAGTCCTCCTCTCCTTGCTGGTCTGGGCGGCTCCGTTTCAGCGACTTCTGGAGTCACTTCTGGCGCGGTGGCAGATCCCTTCCCTTTCGACTGCCTTCCGCCGCCGCTGCTGCTGCTCGCCATGGCACACCATGATACAGCGCAGAACGCGTGTCAAGTCATAATCCTTCAGTCCCAATGTTCGCATGTGAAGTCATGCCATCTAAGAATCTAAGCTTGAACTTGAAGCAGCATATTTGTTCTCCAAAGTCGCTTCCGAGCACGGGGGAGCAGGAGAAAGCTTGGGCGAAGGGCATGGTGGGCATGGTGGGCATGGTGTGCCATTGTTGGTTCCGTACTCGACTACAGTCTCCGCCCTTGGCAGTGCTTCCGAAGGCCTTGGATCCTTTCTCCTCTGCCAGCTTCAACTCCTGGCGAGCTTCTATAACTGCATCTACCACTGCAGGGGACTGCACTGTGTACTGCAGAACGACACTGACACAGATCAGACAGACCAGCGGATTTCGGTCCAACAAAGCTGCCCTGGCCAGCACTTCTGCGCACAGCTTGTGCACCTCTTTTCCTTTCAAAAATGCGAAAGCTAAGCAAATCATGTTTCGCCTCATGTCATTCAAGCGGCCATGTCTGAAGTGTGCAACTGAGGATCTCGGATACCACGCCGGGAAAGCGTCCAAGCCATCCGCCTCCCCCAACACCTGGGCAGCATGATGACATTCAAGCAGTTTATGCTTGGCAACACGCAATTTGAGCGGCCAAAAACTCCCACTTGCTACTGTGCTACTGTGCTCCCATTGCCCCTGAGGCCACGGCAGCCCCAAATGCCAAACCACGAGCATAACAGTCCCCAGCCCCATCCATATTCTGCTCCTGTTCGAGAACACATCTGAAGAATTCTAGATCTGCAGTGGTGCAAGAGCGAATCCAGAAGAACACGCACACTCTCTTTCACACACACACATGCCCAGTCGATGCTGTTCGGTATCTGCAGGTACGCCATTGCGCGTCTGCAACGGTATCACGAGAGAAACGCAGCGTCTTCGTTGGGTGCTGACTGCAAGTCTCCCCCGCACCACTGTTTCATATGACAGCTTGGCATTCAGGGATCTTCAGGCTGCTTTGTCTCCGAAAGACGAGTCGATGCACAGCATGCAGGAAATATCTCAAGAGACTCAGGGAACATCAGGAGACTAAGCACATCCCAGGTACGGCTGGTCCACACACACAGACAAGGGGGGGGGGGGGAGTGGTAACCGCTTCTCGTTCTACTACACGGTCGGCAGATCCTTGTGCGAAAAGTCGGTTCCCTTGCAGTTTCTGAGAAAGCACAACAGCGATGGCAATTGCACAACGAAGACCATAGATGATTCACATCTATTCACATATCACAGCTTCCGGCTGCCATCTGGAGGTCGGCAGCAAAGCGCCCTAATTGCTGTGTTTTGTAACTGCTTCGGCTCTTCAAGAATATAGCCCCGTACATTGGGTTGAAGAAACCCACACAAGGTCAAGACAGCAAACGTGGTTGTGCTGCTACCGTGGGCGTGACCCACTGCGCCTCTGAACTAAAGTGGTTCTCTCTCTCTCTCTCACACACACACAAGCGTGTGTTCGTGTAAGCGTACGACAAGCTGTTTGCCGAGTGGCATCTTCAAGCGCCATATCACCTCAAAAGAAAGAACTTCCAGCCGAGCCCACAACAGAGGTCAAACCGCCAGCAAGGGTGTCCCTGTGCCCTCCAGGACCCCCACCCGCTCGCTTCCAGCCGAATA